AATAACAGAGGACCCAAAATTGTACCTTGTGGAACACCACATGTAACAAACATTTCTTTACTATACGAGCTTAATAATTTTACTGATTGCGGTCTATTTGATAAATAATTTTCCATTAAAGTATACATCTTTCCACGAAAACCTATTCTTTCTAAGATTTCCAAAAGTATATTGTGGTTAACTGTGTCAAATGCTTTTTGTAAAGTCCACAAATACGCATATCGATGGTACTTTTCCATCTATATTTTGGGTTATTTCATTAATGGTATTAACATCCACAATTTAAAAAATGGTCGATCGAATGTTACGTTGATTATAAGAAAATGCGTTTTCTGATTTATTTTTAAGTAGACGTTGCAAGCAAAGGCCTGACGTAAATACCTGTAATATTGCTTTAATATCATCAAAGATGCCACGATGTAGGAGCAGCCAATGCCACAGCCCAATTTATTTTGTGTAAAAATAGGTGTCACCACTATAAGTTCAGGACTTAGACCGGGGGATAGCGAACCGCGCCAGCATTTTTCTGAGCCGTACATACGAACATGTGAAGAAGAATTTAATATCACTTCAAAAATAATATGGTCCGACGATAATATGGTCACTAATAATGGTAATGTATCATTACTGGGCTCAAAAAAATCTGCTAGGTAAAAGAGTATCCAGACATCAACAACGTTTTGGGTTTAATATGAGGGGTGGAATTCTAGGAAACAAAATATTAGGTCCATATATTTACCATAGCTTGTTAACTGCAGAATGGAACCATCAATTGTTGCAACATGATATAGAAGACTGCTTAGATAATTTACCTCTGGCACAGGTTAATAGCTGATTGTTTCAACAAGATCATGCTCCTGCACATAAGTGTAGGCAAGTTCAAGAGTATCTCTCCAAGCGATTTAACTCCTCTGGACTTTTTGTCTTGGGTTTTCAGCATACTTTTGAAACTGCGCAGCAGTTACAAGAATGTGTAAGGGAAGCATGTTATGTGATGTTTAGAATTCTGTTAGATCATATTTACATTTAAAAAATAATGGCAAAATATCAGAACACCTATTGTGAATAAAATAAAAATAATGTTAAAAATGCATTTGTTATTTTGAATATCACTACTTAAGTACAGTCGACCCCCGATAATCCGGCCCCTGTCTAAACCGGCGCCCCCTGTAATCCGACATGTTTTTGAATATTACATACATACGTATTTGACAATATTCGTTAATGTAGATCACGCAGGTTTGCACAGGTTACAACTTGTACGCGCCACCGCTATCGTGCTCGACGCGTAAGCATTGTTTTACTTAGTTTGAGTTTGACTACTTGTGGTAGCGGTACGGCCTAGCGTGCGTTCATTTTTTACTATTTCATTGTGTATAGTACATAGTAATGTCAGCACAAACTCAGAAGCGAAAGCACAAAACATTGACAATTAAAAAAAAAATGTGATATTTTAGACCGCTTAAATCGCAATGAAACTTTCAGCAGTTTAGCAAGTGAATACGGCGTAGGGCGATCTACAATTTATAAACCACGTTGGTCATAGAAGCTAAGTTTTTTTATAAAAAAAAACAAAAAAATTTAATTTTGTGGCCAGCAAAGGATGGCTAGGACGTTTTAAAAGTCGTCATGGCATATGTTTAATGACTATTACAGGAGAGAAACTTTCTAACGATGCCACCTGCATAGAGCCCTTTAAATTAAGATTTTTGCAAAAGGTGAACGATTTAAATCTTGACCCGTCACAGGTGTACAATGCAGACGAATCGGGGCTTTTTTCGCGTGTGATGCTTAACAAAACTTTCGTTTCTTGTAACGAAAAATCCGTACCTGGACGAAAAGTAAGTAAAGAGCGTGTAACCATACTACCATGTGCTGACGCTGTGGGCACATACGCCCTTAAGATGATGGTCATTGGGAAATATAATAAACCACGGGCATTCAAAAACATTGATTTACCTGTACACTATTACGGACAAAAAAGTGCATGGATGACAAAAGACCTTTTCAAAAAGTGGTTTGATGAATGCTTCATACCTGAAGTTAGAAAATGGTTAAAAGATCATAATTTTCCTCAAAAAGCGTTGTTGCTTCTTGATAACGCTCCCTGTCATCCGTCTGAAGAAGAACTAACAACTGAGGATAAATGCATCACTGCGATGTTTCTTCCGCCAAATTGCACTGCACTGATTCAACCAATGGACCAGAATATCATTCAGTTTGTCAAGCAAGACTATAAGAAAAACCTACGTCTGAGAGCCGTATCAAAAGACCAACCAAAAGAAAAAACTTTAAAAGAATTTAATATTAAAGACTTGGTTTTTGCTCTTTGTCAGTCGTGGAATGCGTTACCGAACAAGTCGTTACTTAAACACAGATAACTCCGGAAGATTTGGAAATCTGGTGCCATGGAATGGATAAAGAGGAAAATGTTTTTCATGAAATGTCTGACGAAGAGATTATAAAAGAGGCTTCTAATTATACAACAAACAATCAGGAAAATAACGACGACGTGATTGCAACTGCTCCACAAGTCACAGCACAAGACGCAATTAACGCCTTTGGGCTGAAGAGAATGGTACATCCTACAATGAACTTTTACTTTTGAGAAGACTGAGGGACAAAGCTCTGATCTCGCGTTATAACAACCTTCGACAAAAAAAAATGGATGAATATTTCCAAGCTTCATAATTTGATAAATTCATTAATAATTCTTCATTATTTTGGTACATATGTATGTGCATTTATGCTTAATTTTATAATAAAACGAAAGCTTTCTATTGTTATTTAATTTACTAAATTCAACATACATAAGCTATGTTGTATGATGTGTACTTCAAAGTACATACATATACATATAATCTTACCATTGGATATGTAATTTGTCAGATTGCAAGGTACTCTTTTGTAAAAAATTCCGGACTATAGGGGGTCTTAGACATTTTATAAAATTTTACCCCATCATACCACTATGTAAAATGTAACACGCATCTATAGTGGATACCAAATAAAATCCGATGCACGTCATAGGTGATGTCATTCATAAAAATCATGGTTACCAACAGTTGACTACATTCAATGTGACATTTCTACTTGAAGTTTAAATTTCCCCGTCTCGATTCGGTTGGTAGTGCCGTGCAGAGAAAAGTGAGGTTGCCACTTCTCATTTGTTGACATCAGTTGCCATTGTCCTTTTGTCGTACTATTAGTTCTTTATTGTTTAGTTTGTGAGTTTTGCGCTATTTGAGCTTTGAATCGTTGCCTTGCCAATTAAAAATTGTTCTTTTCAGAACAACAGTTACTGTGAAGTGGTGTAAAGTATCCAAAATGCCAAAACAACTTAACAGTCGGTGTAAAGAGCTCATATCATTGAATATCTACCAAAATCAGGTGTTTTTATTCAGAAAGGAATTTAATTTTACAACAAGTTTATTTATTTTTAATATAATGGTATTATAGTAAATGGTAGGTATATATAAACAATTTATTTTATTAAATTTATTTGCTTAAAAGAAAATGTGCAAATTCTGGCAACAGCGCACAGCTCCAGATCGATGACGTGCATCGGGTTTTATTTGGTATCCACTATATCAGTAATCACATAATCTCACATCATTACATCAAGCATTTGTTTGCAATGCCTACTTAAGTAAAAAAGATAAAAAAGTTGCTATCTTTTTTTTTTGGATCATATTAAAAATAAAGTTGATGGTTTCTCAAAAACAAAACGTTGGGAACAAAATTCGGAAACACCATCATGTCGTGCCTATAAAGTGCCAAATGGGAAAGTTCTATCAGGTTTTCGATATTTTTTAAAATAAAGTCAGAAGATAAAAATGATTTGGCCAAATTTTAACCTTTTATCTTTAATTCTTATAATCCTTAATCTTTATACACCTTGTTCCCTTGATTTTTGTCTTTGCCTGTAGAGTGAATTTGCTTGCTTGCGCTTTTTTCCACTAATTGTGATTCTTTCTATTTGTATCACTACTTTTTTGACAAATCTATGTATTTATACTGGAACATATTTTTAAACAACCCTTAGTCTATCTCCACAACATTTCAGAAATTTCCGTTTCTAATTGAAAATTCCAATTCCCCAAATTACATATATAATTATATAATTACGTAAGTGTACACAGTTTTGTGCACTTATAGCCAAAATTGAACAAAACAAAATTTGATATATGTATTTCATTTTTGTAATAGCTATTTATACAACATATTTAAAGATCAAGAAATAAAAAATGAAATACTGTTTGGAAATGCCTAATTTAAAGCTAAAATATATATATATATATATATATATATATATATATAAGAACTAGCACTTACCTTTGTATCTAAGCGCTCTCACACACGAGATATGGACTTGAACTCGTTTGTTTATTAGGATGCTAAACCAGGTTCTGATTGAATCCTTGAACTGTACAAAGCCAAGGCCAACTTTGTATACTACTGAGATGATGCCAAACAAGATTGCAAAACTAATTAGCGTTGATTCGTAATTGTGGTTATGTTGTAAATTGCACTTTTAACTGCCTGAAAAAGATAAAAATGTAATTAGCCAATCATTCGATCACCAGCATGCTTTTTATCTACAAAATATTCCTACGAAGCCAAAGGACTTGCCTAAACCAACAGTTTTATCAATCGTTTACACCTCAGAATCCAGAGACAAGGGATGCAACCACTAGTTTGTCAACAGAATTATTTAGCTAATGTATTATGAAAAGCCTTGGAAAGTTGTAATACCTATTTTGAATTCAGAAGTGAATTTGCTTACCTCTTTAATTTCAGCCCTGAAATAAATACGTTGTAAATAGGATAAGATTACTAATTTTTTGTTCGGTGTCGGTGAACGGTGAACGATACGATTGTTGAATATAGCGTCTAGCGTCTAGCGTCTACGTCTACGCGTGTCTAGATGGTAGTGCAGTGTTGCCAGATGGTTATTTCCCCCAACAGTAAGACGGGACCAAAAAAACAGATGTGCTTATCCCAACAGTAGATTTTAATAAATATGTATATTCTTCCATAAAACTTTATAAACACAAAGACAACTAAATAAAACATACTTGTAAGTAAATAAATATCACGTTCTTTCGTACAAAACATAAAATATCACATAAAGACAGGCAAATAATAATATCGCAATAATATATAGAAATAAACTTGACGATAAAACTAGTAAATACTAATCATTCTGAATGAGTCAGTTCAGAGTTTTTCATATACACCTCCGAATTCTATAATTTCAACAGCCCTCCAGAATCAAAAGAATGGCACAATTGGTTTTTTGATTTCAAGGTTTTGCCAAGAAGTAGTTGAACGAAGTAATCGTAACAATACACGTGTACACAAATGAATTATCGGATTATCGCAGGGGACGGATTTGCTATCTGTGAGTGATGATAACGCTTGGTTTATTAAACCTAAATACGTGGTTCACCTAGTTTAACATCGGTTAAATAGATAGCGAGACCGATGTCTAGCTATTTTTAAATTATTCTAGGAGTGGCAGGTGAAAAGTATGAAAAAGGTATTGTCGTAATAACGGGAGATTTGATAGTGAAAACAGAAGAACAGCAGCATCGAGGTAAAAACATAGTAGATCCCCTGTTAAAACAGGAGATCTGTTAACACCGGGTACATGCGATATTAAGGTGCATGCAACCAGTTTTACAATTATCGCTCATAGGGTGTTTCAAAACATTCTCAGCATAATTAAAATATGCATCCACAACGACAACCTTCTGGTATCAAAACTTAAACCACAGGGTTGACGAAGAAAGTGCAGTATTATGTTTGATCACAATAAATCCGTTGAGTCTAAAATTAGATTTTATTTTCAAATTGATATTGATGGGAATTGATTGTATGTAATGCGCCATTTTGTAGCGGCGGCCATATTGTATTTTTTCACAGAGTACTGCATCTTCCTAATTTGCCTAGTAAAGCACGTAATGTCCTTTCTTTTGATAACCCTTTTATTGGAAAGATTGTTAAACAATATTTAATCCGAATGACTCGACTAATTTTTTTTAGAAATTGGTAGGGTAGGTTTAGGTTTGAAACCACGGCGGACCGTTGATGATATCCGCGTTGTTGCCAAATCTGCATACATTTTATTCGATATTTGTATTTTGCCAGATATTTTGAACACTTTTATTAAACATACTTTGGCGTAGACTTCATAGTTGTCGAAATAACAATAATTGTTATTTATTACACAAGGGGAAAAAATCTAGTATTTTGACGGGAAAAACGACGATTTAATATTGAAAGATTGAATCATTACAATATTTGAGTCAGATAATTATCGATGTAAAATTTGAATTTTGAAATTAATAGGCTGTTGTACTTATAGCGACAATTAGACCTGCGTTGCTAAGGAAACTTTTAACGTAATCAAATGGCTGCCAATATAATTTTGTGAATTGACTTAAAAATAGTGAACTTAATGGTTGTTTAGAAGTTATTTTTAATACTATAAAGTAAAAAATGTCTTTGACTACACCAGAAATGGGGCGGTGCACCGTCATGGAGAAACCACATTGATTGTCTTACACGCAAAAACACGTCTTCTAGCAGGGTTGGTAAAGTGTTCTGTAAAGAGTCTAGGTATTGTTTCCCGTCCAACCGATTCGGGAGAATAAATGGTCCAATGAGCATGCCGTTTACCGAGCCAGCCCAACCATTCACAGAAAATGTTTGTTGAAACTCTGACCTACGGATAGCGTGAGGATTTTCTACTGACCACACGTGAGTATTGCGGAAGTTATTCACCTCGTTACGCGTGAACGTGGATTCGTCAGAAACTTATATGCATTTCAAAAAGTCCGGATTATTGTCATGTTGGTCCAACCACTCACAAAACCGCACGCAGGAAAATCTTCAGTTTGGAGAGCTTGTACACGTTGCACGTGAAACGGATACAATCCCTCATCATGCAGCGTTTGTAACACTTCAGTCTTCGACACTTGCACTTATCTAGCTACGTCCCTAGTGCTTGTTGAAGGATTCTCGTCTACGAGATTCAGTACTTGTTCCTCAGTTTGCACCATTTGAGGTTGTCTAGGTCTCCCACTGTCCCCACCTCTACATTACTCCAAACGACCCGTATCCTTGAGTAAACAAGGTAAACAAATCTACGGGGCCATGAATGATGACGTATGGGAAAACGATCTGCATACACTCGCGAAGCCTCGGTCGCATTTTGAAGACTCACCGTAAATTGCATGTCAACTAGTTGGCTATTGGTGTGCCGTTTTTTTTTTAACAGCAATTGGTTTGTTGACCTACACTACCGGCGTCTAGGTTAGGTTGCATACTAGCGTATTTACATCGTAGTCGTATAAGTATACTTTATCTGAAGTCACTTGAAACACTGTGAAATACCGGGTGCGTTTTATATATCTATATTTAACACGCTGCAAAAATCGCCAAATTTCGCAGCAAATATCCCCCGTATAAGATCAAAGGCAGTTTCACCGGTCCACGTGGAGTAAAGCACGCCTATGCGTGGACATAGCCAATGAGAAAGCGTGTATTTCAGAGCTCCGAACAAGTGCAGGTGGCTACTGAAAATTGAAACAGTTCTGCCAGTGCCGTGTAGCGGTGAATAAACGTGTTTTCTTTAGTCTGTCCGTGTTTTTTCATAGATTTTATTAGTTTGTGTGTTTTTGACTTTTGAATACTCAGTTTACTTGTTGATTTAATTGTTGTGTTGATTGTTCTTGTGTGTCCTAAATATGGCTCTTTGGAGACCTTGGGAAAATGCTCCAAGCCACGAGGAGATGGTTGATGAACCTGTGCAGGCAGAATTCTTTCATAAAGATTTAGAGGAACAGACCCAAAGAGTAATCCTAAATATGTATGATAGTCTGAAAAACGAAAATCCAGATTCCTTGCAAAATCAAATTTTAAACAGAATTTGTATCCTGACAAAAATCAGTCGGTCTACCATTTATCGGGTTATAAAAAGGGGAGATGTAGTCAACCATTCCTTCCACAGAAAGCGCATAGGGCAAAAATTAAAAAGAATAGACGTGGGTTTTCAGGAAGATATTCGTCATATAATATACGGATTTTATAAAGAAAATTTGGTGCCCACCTTGAAAATGATGCGGGATAAATTAAAAGATTATCCTGAAGATTTTTATAATTACAAATGCTTAGACTCACTGCACTGTATTGTAAAACTGTGTGGTTTTCAATACAAAAAATTAGATAAAAGAATGGTGATTATGGAGTCGTCTCGAATCGTTGAATTGCGCCAAGAATTTTTGCACAAAGTTAAAATCTATAGAGAGCAGAAAAGAAATCTGATTTACCTGGATGAAACGTGGTATGATACCCATGATGTTGTGCAGTACAGCTGGGTTGACGACAGCAACAAGTGCATTTTAAATGCACCATGCAACCGTGGAAAACGAATCATTATTCTCCATGCTGGCAGTGAAAATGGATTTATACCTAATGCCTTGCTGTTATCTGCCAAAAATATCAAAGAATCATGTGCCGACTATCATGAGGACATGACCTCCGACTTATTTGAAAAGTGGATAGAGCAGCAGTTAATACCAAACATTTCCACAAATTCAGTGATTATTATGGACAATGCGCCATACCATTCCCGACAGAAAAACAAAATTCCGAATACAGGCACAAAAAAACAAGACATTATTGATTTTATGAAGGATAAGGGAATGGAAATACCACAAAAATCAACCAAAGCCATATTATTGGATCTTATTAAAAGACAAAAATTTGAAAAAGAGTATGTTGTTGACAATCTGCTTCAGCAAAATGGCCATGAAGTATTACGTCTACCTCCCTATTACTGCATTTTTAACCCGATTGAGTTGGTCCGGGCTGCTTTAAAAAAAAAAAGTAAGAAAACATAATCAGACCCCTCAATCAAGTGAATCGCTATTGGCCACAATAAGAGATGCAGTATCTCATATTGCTGCCACATACCTATGGAAGCAGTGTTCTAGGCATATTATTGAAAAAGAAAATGAATATTGTGTTTTGCCTCCTGTAAATCCCGTTGTAATTCCTCTACAAGATGACTCTAGCGACAGCTCCGAAGGCGAGGATGATATATAAATACCTATAATGTAAGTCTTTATATACCTACCTGCTATGTAAATATTTGCCAATGTCAAACGTTGGAATTCTGTAATTTTTCCATTTCTTAACTTTCAGTCAACATAAATTAAACTCGCAATATAAGTATTTTTTATCCCAAATCAAAAAAATAAGAAGATAGTAAAATCCATTTATTGTGATATAAAAACATTATTATTATCGTTCTAAATAAATGACCGCACGCCTATGATACGTCATGAAATTACAAAGGACGCGCCGACCAAAGGTTTTTATGCTATTTCAAGTGACTTCAGATAAAGTATACGCTGGCACTGTGGGCGTAATCGAGAGACAGGACCGGCTTCGGTTTGGTTGTCTTAAGATATTGGTGTATATCCTAAACCTATTGTCTATAAAGATCTACATTGTGCAAAGGAAACCCCAACTTTAATTTTACTCGACGCAGTTTTAAGCACTTTGAAGGCGTAAAATTTTGAAAAATCGACTACGAAGAAAAAAGCCATTACACATCTTTTCAAACCATTTTATTACAAAATCGAACTATATTAACTATGTACAAAAACGAGGGATATCACAAAACATACAACAATACTTATTTCAGTACACTTTATTGTCAAAAACAACTTAAATTATAACTTAATGTGCAGACACACTGACTTGCCACACCCTGATGATATTGTCAGAATAGCCTGCAAACAAAGTTTGGCCATCTGTGGACCACGCTAGCGACAGACACTGAGGGGGCTCAGCTTTGCTGATCTGAGAGGTCGTTACAACTTCTGGCCTCAGTTCTTCCACCATTTCTTTGCTTTCCAAGTCCCAGATTTTGATCGACGGTCCGAATGCGGCGCAGAGCCAGTATCTGAAATAAAAAAAAAAATGGTTACGAGACGGAAAACCTGGGGAATAGGAGCGAAATGGTTCTAAAGAAATCAGTCCCATATCCGCAAAACCTTCTCTCATCGTTGAGTCAAGAGGTAAAAGTTATACATCATGTGAAAAACAGATGAATATTAAAACAAAAGTTGCTTAAAATTACCATACACTTTTTTCCATCTTAGCGAACATCACGAAACACGTTTTACTCGAATGGCTGCCAAATCCAAACTAACCAATCAATCAGTCTAAAACTTGTAGTGCCATCGTTTGATAGATGGCAGCTCACCATAATATCACCAACTTCCCTCAGGAACGCCGGCTTTCGTCAAACACAGGTACTTATTGAACAAGCCTCGTATACTACCTACTGTAAAATGGGAACAATCCTAACACCTAGAGTGTAAACTCAGGTGTTTTGCAAGGATCAAACGCAAGCCCACTAATATTCAATATGTTCATTAATGATATGGATGAGGTAATCAAAACAAGGATTGTTGTAAAGTCGTTACTTTCTCTAATAAAAAAATTTGTTGGTATTTTTTTTGGAGCACCATTTAACCACTAAGGATGTAGGAGTAGTATTTGATTTGCAGATTAGTTTTATTAATCATATCAATAAAATTTCTGAAGCACCCAAAACGTATCGAGTCATCATTTCTTGTGTATGTCCTAAATTGGAGTACTATCAGCATCACAAAGATTTTGAAATATCTAGACCTAACATGTTAAAAGAATCGTCAATTTTCATAATACTGACCTGTTCGGCGAGAAGCACAATGCTGTGATGATATCGTTATGATCCAAAGTGTGCAAGTGCTTGCCATCGTTGAGATCCCACAGCATGGCTTTGCAATCTTTGCCGCCGCTAGCACACAGGCTGCCGTCTGGCGAGACAGTGACAGTGTTCAAATATCCGGTATGGCCTGAATGATTGATCTTCAAGCGGCAATTGGTGAGGTTCCACACTTTCACCATGCGGTCCCAGCCCGCAGAGACTATTATGGGGTTGGCATGGTTCGGAGAGAAACGAACACAGGATACCTGAAAGAATAAAGGAAACATACATCAAAAATTTATTTCAAAATGGTTTGGCGATATTACTAAATTAATATCCTGTAAATTCGTGAAAGTGTTCTGAGCTATTAGCATTCCAAGGCAAACAGTGTAGGGTATACATTTTTAATATTAGTGATTTTGATTTTACAGAACAGAATGAAAGGATATGCAGCACAATCTCAGATCAAATACAGGGTGTTTCAGAACTAAGGATCAAACTTCTAGGGGTTATTTAATGTAACAGTAGAAAACATTTGAGTACAGGGACCCATATCCGGAAAAGAGTCACTACGGCCCTAAGACGCGTTAAAATTTAGAAAGACGATGAATTTGGATTTAATGCATTTAATTTTTGCCTTTTGTACATGATATCATCACAACAATTGTTCAAAATGTCTTCCTCCAACCTGAATACACGAATTTAAACGTTGCACATGATTTCGGCCGACTTTTGCTACTCGTTTTGAATGATTTCAAATGCTGCTGTAATTTGTCCAATTAAGTCTTGCTGTTTCTACTGGAGTTTCATAAACCAAAGACTACATGTCCCCACAGGAAAAGATCTAGCGACGTTAAATCAGGTGTCCTAGGAGGCCAAGAAACTGCTCCACCTCTGGCAATTCAACAATGCCCAAACTGTTAAGCCAAATACTCACGTACTTGTACAGCAAAGTGAACCGGCGCTCAATCATGCTGAAACCACATTTGTCGTCGAAACATTCAATGAAACATTTTTAAGAAGAACTTACGCCAAGAAACGCCGGTAAAAGATATGTCCCAATCAAATAATCATCAACAATGCCTGCCCCTACATTGACAGACCAACATTGCTAAATAACCCATACAAGTTTGATCCCATAGTTCTGAAACAACCTGTATAAGTCATAACCGAGCCAAGGTAATTATTTTTGCAAAAGCAGCGAGCAATATGAGGTAACAAAAAAAATTAACAACTGATGCTAGAATGCCTATCTAGTGATGGTCCAGAACACAAATTCTTAATACAACATGGATGACATTTCACAAATTATGCTATTTTAAAAGAGCACCTGTCTTAATTCGGATTGAAGTACAAAGACAGGGAATACATCTTTGTCTTCACCTAGAATTAACTTTCAATCTCCTTCCTTGCAACAACCTGAGTAACTATTGAAAAATATAAACAGGTGCTTTTTAGGAAGGTTCAAGGGTGGATAAAAACAATATCAGAATCAAAAACTCACCCAGTCAGAATGACCTTCATCTTGGATTGTGTACTTGCACTCGGCCAGAGTGTTCCAGAGCTTGATTGTCTTATCTCTAGATCCTGACACAATCTGACGATTGTCAACTGAGAATGCAACACTCAATACATCCTAAACAAAACAAGTTTTTGTTAGATCAGAGAACCAAAATATCTCACATTAATATGAAATGTTCATGCTTTGCTTTGTTTTAATCTTTCTGAGGAACAAACTTTAGAAAGAGTATGCTCCAATTCCGTGACTAAAATTTATCTACCTTCCATCAATTATTATTATAGTTGAGTGAACCATAATGATATTTTGATAGAAGGATACCAGAACATTATTTTGGAAAGTTTCTATCAATCTACAAAATAATTGTTTTTTCCTTGAACACTTGCACAGAATAAATAAAATGAACTCATGAGAAAAAAATTGGCTTAACACCAAAATACTATAAGATTTATTGGTGTTGAAATGTATGTTTACGTAGTTCAGATCTAATATAAAGATAGCTCAAATTTTTAATTTATTTACTCTGTATGTCTAAGTTCCTTGAAATAAAATATACAAATTTTACATTAAACAATGGAACCTCAAGTCTCCTACTGCTATTCGTACATCTACTTACCAAATGTAGACCCAGTCACGCCATTTTCAGACGAAGAACGATGTAATTATAAAAAAAAAAAATCTTCTGGCTGTTCAGGAAGAAAGATTAGTCACTGTCATAAGAAAATAATGCAATTATCAAACCTTGGTGTGATCTTCAAATCTTCTGGTCGTCTTTCCAGCTGCAAGGTCCCACAGTCGGAGAGTCTTGTCCCAAGAACCAGAAAGCGCATAGTTACCGTCACTGGAGAGCACCACATCAGAAATGAAGTGAGAATGGCCATACAGCCTCTTCTGCGGCACACCATATTGAGTGTCTTCACGTGTGAGCTTCCATACAATGAGGGTCTTATCTGAAGCAATAGTTGCAACTGAGGTTTATTCCTGAATAAGATGTTGGCCTTTTGAAAGCAAGATGACAAAATCTAAGAAACTCCTTTGTTCTCATTAAATTAATCTGATTTTGCAAATCGGGACCAGTAAAATCACCGAGTGAAATTCCTCAATTTTGGGAAGCTGTTCAGAAGAACATTAATAGAATAGCCAGTCCCAAAATAATTCTCTGCAGAGTAAGTGCAGAAGTCATCCAGAAGTCTGAGCTTCAAGGATGAGAACTTTGTAAAAGAACCTTAACTTTTAATGATGCGAACCTAAGAACCTATTGGAAATGGATTTATTCAAATGTAGTTGCCAGAATTTGGGATTATTCCTCAGGAAGCGTTCTATTCTACAGGGTTTGAAACACTGCCCAATATGGGCGAGGACGCCACATGGTCTAGAGACGGTCCTGTCCCATTTGACAAGTCAAAAAAACTCACCACGATAGCAAGAACCCAAAAATATGCTTATTATAAAGAAATCCCATATTATTCCATTCATAATATGTGCCACACATGCTAGGATGGGCTATCATACGATATATAAAGACGGATGTGAAATCTGAAAAACATGCTGTTGGAATGAACACTTACCCCTGGAAGATGATAAAATCAAATCGGGAAATTTTGGATTAGTAGCAATCTGTGTGACCCATCCATTGTGCCCCAAAAGGGTGCCTTTTAGTTGAAGTGTCTCCGACATCTTCTAAAAATAATTTTTCACACTAACAAGATGTTCTCACAACGAGCACCCGAAACGAAAAGAAAAGCGAAAATATTGACATAGTACATGGCATCTAGCTGGCGGCGCTGGTAGCGGCAGTAGGGATGGGCAAAAATAACCGGTTAATTGAATAACCGATTTTTCTTGCTAACCGGTTATCGGTTAACACGTTAAGCGCCATGGCGGTCGCATGGGACCGCTTGACAATGGACCTATCACGCCACGGCGGTCCGTATGGACCGCTTTGTATTTAATTTATTTCCACGGTGACTCCAGCCAGAGGTCCATATTTAAATTCATTTTAGTGCTAGATATGAACCGCGCTGTGGCTTGTATGGATTATACCGATATGCCAACTTTTTCGTGTACTTTTGTTTTAAATAGAGTTATCCAATTTTTTTTATTCACACAACAACATTGACAAAAAAAACAAGATACCAGTGAAAATGCATATATATATATATATATATATATACAGGGTGACTTCGAAGTTGAGTCATTTATTTTAACATTGAGTAGATCTGATCAAAAGAAATGTTTTTTTCCTTTAACATTTTTGTGGTAAAATTAAAGTAACAAAGTTATAGCCCTTTAGAAGTTTGAGTACCGCCCTGTCTCAATAATAATATTATGTGTTCGTGTTTGGCAACAACGGATATAATCCGCCTTATCGGTTCATCCCATCGGAAACAAAAAAGCGAAAGAATTTGAAACGCTGATCACGATGTTTTTATTCAGTCGATGTGTCAGTCGGTAACGCGTGAGTGAATAGTGGTGTTTGCTGCGTAGCTCAAACGAAATAAAAAATGGCACATGTTTATGCGGATCGGTTTCCCAATCGAGTGCAACCAACCCCTCGTGCCTTTGTTAATGTAGTACAACGGGCTCGTGAATCAGGTGACTTAAGACCTCACAGGAGGGGGCATGCCGGTGCTCCAAGACCTCACGATCAAATACAGGTCCGCACTGAAATACTTGTTGGGAGGATACTTTATAAAACAAGGTAAATTTTTTTTTTATTTTTACACACATATTTTGGTTCATCTTCCTTCTACAATCATTATCTGAAAATTAATGACTCAACTTCAAATATAATGAGTTATGATATAGAGATACAAAATGTAAGATAACTTCATTTATTTATGACTTGTTCCGAAACAGTCAAGGCAAAATTGGGGATTTCCTTCACAGCTGTCACACTATGTAGTAACTCTGAAATTTTATTTTTGGTATTTCACCCCTTATTTTTTTATTATAACATCTTTACAATTCCGTCTGACTTCATGTGATTTTCCTTCTTTTTTTTCAGTACATGTCGTTCCCGTCTTGTGTCAGCTTTTGACGTAGACGGTAGATTAGACACATTATTTGTTGGAAACATGACATTGGCGCTTTGGCCTGATGGAGATTTTTCTAACATTTTGCTTCGCGTTCAACGTGTTAAATAAATGCAATAACCGGAAAGGTTTTTGTTTTTCTATCTACACAAATCTCAGTAAATATGGGCGTAGTGAATATCAGGGCTGTGTTGTTTTTGTTGTTCGGCATGAAAGCTTTGGGAGAGCTCTAGATTCTAATAGATGTTTTGTGCTCACAAAACGCCTTTTTTAAGCCGCGATTTCAATGTATCTAGCCACAGTCATAAGAATAAGGGTTATTTTCTGGTTAGCCGTATAACCGGTTAAATTTGGTCGGTTAAACGGTGCTGGTTAAAGTTACGGATATAATAACCAGTCTATAACCGATTTTTTTAAGAATAACCGCCCATCCCTACGTGACAGTTGATTGGTATGACGTTTGACTGCCGCATCAGGTAGTGATGAGAAAATACATCGATAGTTTCCAACAGCATTGATCTGAAGATCTCTATCTTCTTTTTCTGTCTGACAGGCTGAACTGCTTTCTTGATCTCTACACGCTCTTGTCTGCTGCTCAATATCCATGAGTCGGAACAAAAACATGCTCTATGAAACTGTACAAAGTAGCGTTACTTTTACATTGCTCATCTCTAGTCAACCAGCGCCGCCAACATACAACATTTTAGAAGAAAAAAGCTTTCAATGAAAATTGTAACCTTCGTCTTTTTAAATCGTATCAAAATAGAATCATCATGAAGACCACAAACATTCCTAAAATGAGCAAAACGTCGGCAGCTAAGCCTATTCTCAACAATGAAGGCATGACCGAAAAGGTGAGTGAGATTTCCATATTCAAATTTCCCTCATCTTGGAGGGCAGCTTTCTCAGATGATCTGCGCGCGCGCAGTCCTGATCCAGCAAAGCTTCATTCGATTGTAAAATGTGGACAAAATCGCCATTTTGAGTTTATATATTGTGAATAGAAAATAAGGAAAAACAAACATTCATTAATGTGCGGTTACAAGCTTTAAGACACGAATTTCACTACAATACGTTAATCTAATTTATATTATTTATATTTGAAGCCAAGAGCAGTAGTTATGGATGACAAGGCGTCATGTAAGGAACTAGATCAGTGGATAGAGCAGTTGAATGACTGCAAGCAGTTAACAGAAAACCAAGTAAAAACACTTTGTGATAAGGTACGTATACTTAAGATTCCCATTTTCACTTTAGATGTCCCTTTTATACGCGTACGCATCGTACAAACGTATTATTAGGATCGAATGTTTTAGTCACTTTCGGTAATGACTAATCAATGATAATCACTTCTGGGTTATTTAAACTTTGGACAGATTTTTTGTTACCGAAATTATCACGAATTGATATCATTCTTTCGCCAAAATAGTTGTTCATTGTGTATGAAACCTACAAAGTTGGAGATATCAACTAGATCTGTATTTAATTGACCTCATAGATTTGCTTACTAAATAATTCATTATCTTATCAAAGTATTGCTGAGGTGCAGTTAGAATTTTCGTCTAGAACAAGTTTTTAAATCGTTTGTTTTTGGTTTTGTTTATATGTGCTATCTTTGTTAACATTATGATGACTCAGATTACAATATGTTTTGTCACAAAAAAATAAAGTGATGCCTATACCTCTATCTATAAAAAATATGTGTAAAGATTTATGTTTTTATCTGTTGATCCCATGTATATTGAAAAAATGGTTCATGAGGTTCGTAATTTGAAAAAATGTTGATGTTTCTGATTTCTAAGAAAATGGTGCATGATTCTGACTTCTATAATTTTTTACTAATTCGATAATTTTAAAAATATGATTATTACTAATTATTTAAAAACTCTAGGTTGTGAGGATTTTTCTAAAAATGATATATACAGTAATGGACAAAAGTATATAGACAAATTAATATTGTGCTGTATTTCTTTTTTAACTTGTTTTATTAATACACCAACTTGTATATATAATTCGTTATGGCATAATACTCGCTTATACATAAATAAATTCATTAGAAACTATGAAGGACAACAATATATAGACAAAGCAAAACAATTATAGAAAAAAAGAAGCAAAAGTTCATTGAATTATAGAAAACCAGCCATGTTTGTGTTAATATTTTGTAGCATAACCATTATTATCAATCGCCACCTGGCATTGTCTCGGCATAGATTGTAGAAGTTTCTTTATATAAGATTCATCAATCTGTCTCCACTGTTGCTCTAAAGTGGCAAAAAGTTTATACTTGTTTGAATAATTTTGATCTCGTATTTGCTTATCTAAGTATTCCCATAGATTTTCAATGGGGTTTATATTGGGAGACTGTGAAGGCCAAAACTCGGTGATGACTTTTGGCAAACAAATGGTGGTATACCAATCTGCAGTAACAGTTCTTTGCTCATTAAGAGGAATTGTTGCAATATGACCGATCTTTTTCGAAACACTTCGAGAACGGATGACTTTTGTTGGCTTTTCTTCACCTTGGAACACCCAAACAGCCAACTGTCATTTATTTTCTGGTTCATAATAGTAAATCCACCATTCATCATCACTAACAATGCTGTACACATTTTTTGAGTTTCCAGAATTGAAACAGTCAAGCATTTTTTGACACCAATTAACTCTGGCTGCTTTCTGCTCTTACCATATGTTTTTCCACAAAATATTAAATGAAGCTTATATCTGTATCTAAAAAAAATTATATATAAAGATGATTTGTTTTTCTCTATTGATTTCATTGAAATTGGGGTTGAAAAATGGTTCATGAGCTCCACAATTAAAAAAAAAAAATGTTGATGTTTCTGATTTCTAAGAAAATGGTGTATAATTCTGATTTCTATAATCTTTATTTAATGTGGATCCAATAGATTTTAAAAATGTGATTACTGCTATTTAAAAAATATTTGTTGTAATGATTTTTCTATAAATGGTGTATATGGTCTCATTGAAAAATTCAGGATTTGAAGAGATTTAAAAATATTGGTGAATACTTTTTTAAAAAAACTGCTTGATGTAAATTTAAAGAATGATGACTGTGATCTGCTTTTAGAAAAATGGTGGATGTGATTGATTCCAAAACACTGTCAAAACTATTTGACTGCTATTTGATAAAAATGGGTGGATGTGCATTTTTAATGATGGATTCACTCTTATTTTGAAAAGTGGTGAATGTTTATTATTTTGAAATACTGGTGGATGTGTTCTAATTTTAAAAAAATGATGGATGTGATCTGATTTTAAAAAATGATGAACGGTTCAATTTCAATAAAATTGTGTATTAGTATTATTCTTTCAGTAAAATAGTTGTACATTGTATATGAACCTACAAGGTTGGGGATATCACCCAGTTCTGTATTTAATTGGCCTCATGAGTTTTGCTTATTGAAAGAATCAGAGTATTGCAGAGATGAAGTTAGAATGTCCCTCTAGAACAGGTTTTTAAATCATTTGTATTTTTTGTTTTGTTTATATGTGCTATCTTTGTTAACATTATGATGAATCAGATTTCAATATGTTTTGCCACAAAATATAAAATGAAGCTTATACCTGTATCTATAAAAAATATGTGTGAGTGAAGATTTATGTTTTTATCTGTTAATGTCATTGATATTGAGGTTGAAAAATGGTTCATGAGATTCAAAATTTAAGCAAATGTAGTTTATGATTTCTTAAAAAATGTGATTACTAGTTATTTAAAAAATCTTGGATGTGATGGATTTTTTAAAAATGTATACTTTTCAAAAAAAAGTGCTCGATGGCAAATCTGATTCCAAAAAACCGATTTATCAAATTTAAAAAAAAAATGGTGAATGTCTATGTTTAAAAAAGTGAGTGCTATCTAATGAAAATTGATGGATGTGACTTATTTTAACAAATCATGTAAATTATCTCTAAGTAAGAAAATATGATGGCGAGTTGTGCTGCAATCCTTTAACTACTTTTTTAGATATAATTTTCTCATTGTAGCTTTCGATTTCCAGGCTAAGGAAATATTATCGAAAGAATCCAACGTGCAAGAGGTGCAATGCCCGGTGACAGTATGCGGGGACGTGCACGGCCAGTTTCACGACCTGATGGAACTGTTCAGGATAGGCGGCCGCAGTCCAGACACAAACTATCTATTCATGGGCGACTATGTAGACCGTGGCTATTACTCTGTAGAAACCGTCACTCTACTTGTGGCGCTCAAAGTGCGCTATAAAGAACGAATCACCATTCTCAGAGGCAACCATGAATCTAGGCAGATCACACAGGTATATGGGTTCTACGATGAGTGCCTGAGGAAATACGGAAATGCCAATGTGTGGAAATTCTTCACCGATTTGTTCGACTACCTGCCACTAACTGCGTTGGTGGATAGCCAGATTTTCTGTTTACATGGTGGGCTCAGTCCCAGTATTGATACCTTGGATCATATCAGAGCATTGGATCGTTTGCAAGAGGTAAGTTTGTTAATGCGAATTTTCTTTAATATACAGGTGTTTCAGTTTATTGTTGCATAACTTTAAGATTCGATAGAACTTTTAAAATTAATGCATAAAGTCTATATAAACATGGGTCGAAAAATGCGTGGCTTCCGAAATACAGGGTGTTTAAATTTACTTTTTAAAATAGTTTTTTATAAATATTTCGAACAATATTTGATATATAACGAAAATTGGTATACAAGGGTTTTTTGGTACGACAAAACGAACCATGGGCATAGTTTTACTGTAGCCGCCAGAGGGAAAAAATTTTCTTAGTGCAATTTTTTGCTTTTTGAATAAAAAAACTGATGCTTCGCACTTTTCTGCATAAAAAAGCTCTCTTGTGAGTTTTCGTTATAGTTAGGTTCGATGCCTTTTTAATTATTTATGGGATAATAGTATTTTCATTTACATTTTCGATTTGGGCATTACAAGTAATTAAGATGATCGTTTAGATTGTGTTTTTAAACACAGCAATAATTCCTCACTCCAAATAAACACAAAAAAACAGAATATTAATTTGTTTAATTTTCCAATATTATTTTTAACAAATTAAATTAATTATTTACAACTAAAATGCTATTGGATAGTTAGAACAAACATACAAAATCTAAAGTAGTAGCTCGAAATGCAAACCCAATTGTTCAATACACAATTCACATCTACGAATGATCGAACGTGGTATAGCATTATTCAAATAAGGCCTTATTTCATCACATACATTCCTGATTCTGTCTATTAGCATATCTCTTGTGGTTACGGGAGTCTGGTACACTTTTTCTTTTAGAAATCCCCACACAAAGAAATCTAATGGATTTAGGTCAGGGGATCGTGGAGGCCAGGCGACTGGTCCTCCACGGCCGATCCATCTTTCTGGATAATTTTCGGCCAGCCAGTTTCTAACTATTCTCGAATAATGAGCTGGACAACCATCAAGCTGGAACCAGGCCAATCTTCTTAAATCTAACATAACATCATCCCACATATTTGAATGTTCAGCCTTTAAAAATTCCAAGAAGGTCGCAGCATGTAACCTTGCAGGCAAAAGGTAGGGTCCAAATAGTTGATTCACACAAAATTCATGCTGAAAATTTCTTTCCCGAACTGCATGCGGATTTTCATGCGACCAAATATGTTGATTATGAAAATTTACCACTCCACGTCTAGTGAAGCATGACTCATCGGTCCATAAAACGTTACTTAAAAACTCCCTATTATTATCAGTTCTATCAAGAATCCACTGACAAAATGTGATTCTTCGTTCTCCGTCCCCTGGCTGTAGTCCTTGCACCAGTTGCAAATGGTAAGGACGTCTATGGTCATTTCTAAGAACACGGTGAACATGGCTTGCTGAAACTCCCAAGGCACCAGAAACTCTCCTAACACTTGTGGTCGGATCTCTATCAAACTCACGCAGAATCATACGGGAAAATCTGCGCTGACGAACATTTATGTTTTGATCCCTTTGGAGATTTCCAAAACCATTTTCAATTATTTGGCGATGCACTCTTACAAATACTGAGCGAGTTGGATGTCGTCTGTTTGGAAATCTTCGTGCGTATTCTCTGGCTGCTTCTTCAACTGACTGTCAACTAATTGACGTTTAACCTTATTCTGCTTTCAATTTCAAAAATATTTGCAGGCACAGCCTACTTCTAAAAATTATCGAGATACTGACTTTTTAACGTTATTTTATCATAAATAATTAAAAATGCATCGAACCTTAAAAATCGAAATATCTCAAAAACGGCTAACTATACTAAGTGACATATAAATCCGAACACCCAGTTTAAATGGTTTTATTTTAATAAAAGTTGGTGAATGTATTTATCTTACTGTAAATAACAAGTGACAAAATTTTCAGCCTTATCAGTTGGACATTCCGGTTTTTATACTGCTTTTTTTTAATTCACTAACGCTCTAAAAATGAATATTTCAGCCGCAGTAAAGAATCAGCGTTGGCGGATTTTGGTTCTTGACATCCTTTACGATCGGTTACGATGCCTAGAGTACGGAGACCTGTACGATTTCGTCAACTTAGTGAGTTTGATAGGGGCCGTATAGTGGGACTTCGGGAAGCTGGACTTTCTTTTCGGGCAATTGCAGTTAGAGTGCAAAGAAGTGTAGACACTGTGGTTAGGTGTTGTCAGGCATGGCTTTGAGAAGGCGGTACGCAAAGAGCAAGGGGCACCGGACGCCGCCATAGAAAAACAGACCGTGAAGATCGCCGCCTAAGATTATTGGCCTTAAGGGACCGTTTCTCCACTACCAGGTCCATTGCAAATGAATGGTTTGCAGAACACGGAAGACCTATTGGCATGCGAAGTGTTTACCGACGAATGAGAAGTTTTGGCTTGTTTTCATACCGGCCACGCTGGGTCCTCCCTTTAACTCGAGAACACCGACGTATTCGCCTTGAGTGGTGCAGACAACGGTCACTCTGGGATCAGGAATGGAATAGTATTGTCTTTAGTGACGAGTCTCGATTTTGTTTAGGCATGCACGATGGTCGTGCCAGGGTTAGAAGGCGACGTGGTGAAAGGAGGAATCCACAGTTTTTTGTTAAAAGACATGTTCATCACACTGTTGGAGTTATGGTCTGGGGTGCTATAGCTTATGGTTCCAGGTCACCTTTAATCTTCATCAGAGGTAACATAAACGCGCAGCGTTATATCCACGAAGTTCTAGAACCCCATCATTTACCCTATCTTGACACCCTGGCAGATCCAACTTTCCAACAAGATAATGCCCGATCCACACATTATTAAAGGTCAAAGGGCTTTAAAGCAGTGCAATCATTTTGAAATTTTTATCATTTACTTATTATGCTTCATTAAGTACTTATACAAAATTTTATTAAAATAAAACCATTTAAACTGGGTGTTCGGATTTATATGTCACTTAGTATATAACGAAAATTCACAAGAGAGCTTTTTTATGTTGAAAAGTGCGAAGAATCAGTTTTTTATTCAAAAAGCAAAAAATTGCACTAAGAAAAAATTTTCGGTCACTTTAATACACTACAGGTACAGTAGAGAGCGCCCTCTAGCGGCTACATTAAAACTATGCCCGTGGTTCGTTTTGTCGTACCAAAAAACCCTTGTATACCAATTTTCACTGTTATACATCAAATATTGTTCGAAATCTTTTAAAAAAACCATTTTAGAAAGTAAATTTAAACACCCTGTATTTCGGAAGCCACGCATTTTTCGGTCCATGTTTATATAGACTTGATGCATTAATTTTAAAAGTTCTATCGAATCTTAAAGCTACGCAACAATAAGCTGAAACACCCTGTATAATATGCATCTTTGCTTTGTGTGAACAATTTTTTGTTTCAGCAGTATTTTCTGAGATGGAGAGAGAGTTTGAAACATTTTGAAGACCTACGTGAGATCTGTACTCTTGAGGTCAGATTTTTGTGGCTACGGGCCTTTTAAGGTTATGAACCTAGTGATTCCAATCTCTTTTTTGAAGTTATGGGCCCAGTATGCAGACCTCTTCATAAACGTCCTATTGGCGACCTGTTAATGGTCAGACTTTTGAGGTTATGAGCCTGGTGTATCATATCGGTTTTTTGAGGTTATGGGCTCACTATGGCAGACTGTTTCACAATCCTCCCATTTGCGACCTGTTAATGCTCAGACTTTTGAGGTTATAAACCTTGTTTTTTGAGGTTATGGGCCCAGTATGACGAACCTTTCCGCAAACGTCCCATCTGCGACCTGTTAATGGTCAGGTTTTTGAGGTTATTGACCTATATTTTTTTAGGTTATGGGCCCAGTTTGACAAAGGTCCCATGTGCAATCTGTTAATGGTCAGACCTTTGAGATCATGAGTCTGGTATATAATATCGTTTTTTGAGGTTATGGCCCCAGTATGACAAACCTTATCTTGTTTTTTGGGGTTATGGGCCCAGTATGACAAACCTTTTCACAAACTCGTATGAGCGACCTCTTATAGTCGGGTTTTTGATGTTGTGGGTCCAGCATGCCGAACCTTTTTTTTCCTATTACAGGTGCCGCACGAAGGTCCCATGTGCGACCTGTTATGGTCAGATCCGGACGATCGCGGTGGCTGGGGCATCTCGCCGCGTGGTGCGGGGTACACATTCGGCCAAGACATCTCAGAGACGTTCAACCATTCGAACGGGCTCACGTTGGTCTCCAGAGCCCATCAGCTGGTCATGGAAGGGTACAATTGGTGTCACGATCGCAACGTTGTGACCATCTTCAGCGCGCCGAATTATTGCTACAGGTGCGGCAACCAGGCGGCCATTATGGAGCTGGATGACGCGCTCAAGTATTCCTTGTAAGTATACTTCTTATGATATATTTTTTTTGCCAAAACTCCGTTTCCTGTCTTCTGGATTAAAGCGAACAAAACCCACACTTAGGTAACTTGAGAATTCAAATATGACCTTAAAAAATTGAAAAGTTTGAATTTTAGTTAAAAAAGCTGGCAAAGATACAATTTCTACGGCATTTATACTATTCTCAACACAACATGTTTTTTTTGGTTGCTGATTTCAAATCTAGGGTTAGTTTGTCTGAGGGTCATTTCAGGCATTCAAAAGTAGCTGAACAGTTGAGCCCAACTGCACGTATTTTATGTTTTTCCGATAATAAAATCAGAATCAGAGGTCAGTGAGTGACTATAAGAGCATCTGAAGGTCATTTCAAGGTCACTTCAAGGACTAATTAAAAATAAGTCTAGCATTCATATCACTAAGTTTTTGCGGTCATGAGTAAAAATCAGAGATTAGTTTGTCTATTTGAAGGGTATTTTAAGGACACTCAAAGGATAAATTCAAAAATGCTAAATAATCGTATTTGACCACCTGCAATCACGTGGCAGTATATAAGGTTATATTGCCAAAACAAAAAGCCCTAGGTACATATTTCCTTAAAACAGTGTTTTTGATTATCGTTATTAGAAAGAAATCCATGCCAAAGACGTAAGTTTGAACCTTTTTAGCAAACATTTATGCTAATGTCATAGACGGTACATGGAGATAAGATAAGGTATGCAAATATTTATTGATTTCCGTACTCTATTCTATTTTTGGGATCGACAAAGAACAAAGAACGTAGGTGAATAATAATGTATTAGGTTGTAGGCCTTACATGCATTGCGGTCATGTACCCTAGGTATTGCGCATAAAACGAGCATACATTTTTTTGCGGCGAATATTTGGACATTTTTTTACAAATTATGTGAAATGTTTTCTCTCTGATGTGTTTTGTGGGTTTTTTATCAATCTGTTCTGTTACAATCACAAATAGTGCATACATAAACAGTGGTTTATAGGTTATTGTTAACGTTTATGTATGCCATATTTCTGACTCTGCCTAATAACATTACTTCAAAATAAAATGAACCAAAAATACTGTATGGGCTCTTGTAAAGAAAGGTCTGAACTTTGGTCTACATAACTGCCAAGCTAAAAAAATATGATTTTTAACCAGGTTTTTAAGCTTTAAAAATGTTCGTTTTCAGGGTATTTTTCAGACTGATGCGAGTGAGCATTTTTTTGAACGGAATAATCAAAAAAAACTTGAAAAAAAAGTGTTTTTTTTTTATATCATGTATAAAAAATTGTTTAAACGACATATATATTGATATAATGTATACTGGTTCGCCAGTATATAACTGACTAATTTGCGCTCCATTTTTGATACACGCATTTCAGTAGGTGGCGCCGTAATTGTTTAAAGCCCATGTGTCTAATTCATCATGGAGCGCTTCACGATCCCACAACGTGTCCATATTGTTAAAACGTTTTACTTAAATAATGAGTCGATTGTTGCAACGATTTGGAAGCTATGACAAGATTTCGATCGAAATAATGTGCCCAGTGTCAACACCATTCGAAAGTTGGTGCGGAAATTTGAACAAACAGGTGAAGTTAAAGGATTGAAAAGGTCGGGCCGTGTTCAAACTGTTGGTACTCCGGAAAATATCGAGACAGTTCGTGAAAGTGTAGTGGAGCGCCCTGAGACGTCTACCAGACATCGTTCTGAAGAACTGGGTATTCGTCGCACGTCATTATGCACTATTTTAAAAAAAGATTTGCGTTCAGTTAACCCAAGAACCACAGCCTAGTGACCATGAAAGTCGCCGACAATACAGTCATGCAATATTGCAGCTTAATGCCAAAAACGATTTTTACCTACAACTGATAATGAGCGATGAAGCCCATTTCGATATGAACGGATTTGTTAAAAAGCATAATTGACGTATCTCCGGGCATTAGAGAACCCTCGTGTCATCCATCAACGACCACTACATCCTCGTCGAGACACAGTTCGGTGCGTTGTTTGGTATGGATGTGTCATTGAACATTACTTCTTTGAAGATGCTATGTACATAATTCTCTTACTGTCACTGGACAGCGCTACCGTGATATGATGCAAAACTTTCCGGCTTTAACCTGCAAAACATGTGGTTCCAGCAACACGGAACAACTTGTCACAAAGTTAGGGAAACAATGAATCTTTTGCGAACAATATTTCTCGATTTGGTGATGTCAGCTGGCCACCAAGGTCACCGGATTTGACGGCTCCTGACTTTTTTGTATGGGGATTTTTGAAAAATAGGGTTTATACCAACAAACCAAATACTGTAGAGCAGCTGAAGAACGGGTGATTTTTTAAGAGGTATAGGATTTGATTTTTAAAAAAAAAACACAAAATTTGAAAAAACGATTAAATCTTTATTTGAGTCGATAGAATGGTCGATATAATTTAATGTTCAAAGATTATTTCATGTAAATGTTGGCCGCGGCTCCGCTTTAGATGGCCCATGCGCAAGGTCCAATTTTGGCACACTCTCTCCAACATATCGGCCGGTATCTCACGAATAAATGCTTCAATATTGGCTTCCAGTGCGTCAATCGTTGCTAGTTTATCCCTGTAGACATTAGCCTTAACATGGCCCCACAAGAAATAGTCCAACGGCGTTAAATCACACGATCTAGGCGGCCAATTGACGGGCCCCAAACGTGAGATAAACTGTTCACCGAATTCGCCTCTTAATAGGGCCATCGTTTCGTGTGCGGTGTGGCATGTGGCACCGTCTTGTTGAAACCACATGTCAGCCAAGTCCAGCTCTTCCATTTTGGGCAAAAAAAAGTTTGTTATCATCGCACCTTAGCGCTCGCCATTCATAGTTACGTTCCGGCCATTGTCGTCTTTGAAGAAGTACGGCCCGATGATACCACCGGCCCTAATCCACACCAATCAGTGATTTTTTCGAGATGCATTGGTAGCTCTTGCAATGCTTCTGGCTAGTCTTCACTCCAGATGCGGCAATTTTGCTTGTTAACGTACCCATTCAACCAGAAATGAGCTTCGTCGCTGAACACAATTTTTCGATAAAAATGTGGATCTTCCTCCAACTTTGCCAGCGCCCATTCACCAAATTGGAAACGTTGTGGGAAGTCGTGTGGCTTCAATTCTTGCACCAGCTGTATCTTATAAGGTTTTACACCCAAATCCTGTCGCAAAATTTTCCACGTAATGGAATAACAGAGGCCCAATTGCTGCGAACGGCGGCGAATCGACATTTCACGGTCATCACTAACACTGGCGGATACAGCCGCAATATTTTCTTCAGTCCTCACTCTACGTCTGCGTGTTGGTGGTTTAATGTCCAATAATGAAAACTGGGTTCGAAATTTAGTCACAAGCTTCCGAATAGCTCCCTCAGTAGGCCGAGCAAATTGCCCATAAATTGGAAGCAGTGCTCGATGCACTCTCTTAACCGAGCATGAATTTTGATAGTAAAATTCAATAATTTGCAAGCGTTGTTCGTAAGTCGATTTATGGTTAAATTATAGACCAAACTGAACAAGTTTGACAATGACACAAGACACGATTCACGCGTCATCTGTCAAAAACAGTGTTGCCAAAAAGATACTAGCAAAAAAAACACCCATTATATTACGGAAACGATTGAAAATATTCCTCCCGGAACCTACCAAAAAATGATGGAAAATGTAATCAAGAGGGCTCAGATCTGATTTGTCTGATATTAATGATAAAAATGGACGTATTTTATTTCATTTCACAAGTATTCAAGATACAAAGTTCAGTTACATATCGGCCACCCTGTACAATGTAAATTATATGTGAGCCGGTCGGGACCATGAGAGACTATCCGTTTAATGATGTCCAGAAAGGGGAATTCCACTGTATGTAGAGATATGTGTACAGGGTGCGCGCCATCTTTTATGTCGGTATGTAAACATGAAATAACTTTGAAAACGAAAAACTGATTTCTATATATCGGGTATTTTAATTAAATATGGTCCTTTACAATTTATTGGGACTAGTTTTTGAACACAACATCTATCAAGTGGCCACCTTTATCGGCCAACACAAATGTGCCCGTTTTGCTGCGTTTTCCATACTTTTTCCAGCATCTCTGGTGGTACAGCGGATTGTTTCATTTGCAGTGTGGCATGGCGCACCGTCTTGTTGAAACAAGTAACCATCAAGACCTTTTTCACGCATTTATAGACATGATGAGCCAACATCCACCGATATCGATTTCTATCGACTGTTTCGTTTTGGTTGAAGAAAAATGGCCCAATGACGGTTTTGGCGCAAACACCGGCTCAAACAGTTACTATCCGGTCATGCAACGGCGTTTCGTGGATCTCATGTGGATTTTCCGTCCCACAAATGCGGCAGTTTTGCTTATTAACGCCGCCAGAGAGCGTGAAATGGGCCTCGTCGGTCTTCGCAATTTGCTTCCAAAAATCAGCTTGACTGTTTGGGTGGGCGTATTCCAAGCGACGTGGACGATCAGTTGGCAATATTTTTTGTATTAACTCCACCTCAAAAGGAAACAAATGCAAATCATCCTTCAAAATGCGCCGCAACGTGGCTCCACTGATGCCAAAATGCTGAGCGCGGTGACGATACGACACATTTGGGTGCTGGGCAACGCTGTCTCTGACCGCTTCAACCATTTCATTGGAACGTCTTGGCCGTAGATGAACGGTATGTTGATGATCTCCCACTTTCTCGTACTCAAGAAAATTCAAAACCAAACGACGGATCGTGTTGTCAGACGGTCCCTGTTTGCCACGATATTTTCGACGATATGCACATTGCGTTAACACGATTTTCAATGTACATTGTGACTATTTCGGCGCGTTGTTTCGGTGTAAAGCGATCCATGACTAAAATTGAAGTAAATTGACGTTTCAGAAACACGTAAATCACTCGGTTGGTAAATATCAATGTCATTCGATGTTTCAATACCCACATAAAAGATGGCGCACCCGGTATGTATTTTTAATGAATTACTGATTTTTTTGTTTTATTTCCAGCTTACAGTTTGACCCGGCACCAAGGCGAGGCGAGCCGCATGTGACGCGCAGGACTCCAGATTACTTCTTATAAATCCTCATGTATGTCAATCGCAATATTTCAAGAACCTGCTTATACATTTCTCTGTTCAAACGCATAGCAGATGACAAGTATGTGTCGCTATTTGAAAAACTCTTGTGTGTATTATTACAGAAATTATATTATTAAAGATGGAGTTATGTGTTATTTAGGTTCTAATTATTATTTTATAGTGACTAATGTTTATAAGGGTTCAAGCCAGCGTTTACAGTCAACCCTAGACGGCAGAGGGTTGGTCAAACCTTTTATTTTAGACGAACAATAATTTGACACACGTGAAGATTACTTAACCCTCAATGAGTCCTCGAAGGTCGACTGTGAATGTGTGCCTTAGACTTGCAAATAGAGGCTCTGACTTAGTACAACCATCGATTCTGATTTCTTCATCTGATAAAAACCTTCAAAAATTGACAATTCCAACCATGGGCGCCCGCAGGAATTTTCCTCATGGGCGATAATGGGCAAGAGATAACTTCTTGTGGAAGTGTACCTGCCTCAAAAATTTTGTGAAGAGCTGGGGCGGCAAATTTTTCCAGACGCAAATACTAAAATTATACACGAAATCGTGCTATTTTAAGGTCCAACCGAATTCTCAGGGGGGCACGGCCCTTACCTCCCCCCTTTGCGGGCGCCCATGTTTCCAACAAATTTACAGTTGTTCCTTAACCTGAGGCATCCTGTGAGGACGACATATTTGCGTCGACAGTTTTGACAGATGGGAATGACAGGACAGCTGTCAAATGTGTTTCTTATGATGGCGACTTTGCTAGGCCGCACACTTGATAACTTCAAAGGTTTCTTCATTTTGCTGTTTTTCTTATGGATGCAAGAATATACCCATTATGATAATAAAGGATCTCATACATGAAATGGCCTATTTCTTTTATATTTGAAAAGTCTCATGTCCCAGGTCTCAAGGAGCTAATAAGAATGATAATAATATTCTTTATTGTCAGCAAAATTTTAAAAGAAAAACATAAGCAACGTTAAGTTGACTTAGGCGCTCATTTATAGGTGACCCTTAAGTGCTGAGTGTTTAAGTATTGATCAACCTTTGCATTTTGAATGAGTGGAGATTTAGAGCGTTTTGTTTTGTTTAAATTTGTGCAGTTTCCGTGTTTAAAACACTGTGCCCTGGTTCCTTTTTGCCCCCAAGAGAAGATAAAATATTTCGCGTCTCGTCTGTTGATGAACTTTCTTTTTGCTTCATTTGCCTTTCTCGTGCGGTTATGGTAAATTTTCGAAGAGAAAACTATAAGAAAAGTTGCTTTAAAAAAATGATGGCTCGCAAAGCCACAAGTAAGAGTTGCAAAATATGAATATATACACTGGTTTTCTCAGGGCTTAAAAATTTGCACCACTTCAACATTAGAAGAAAAAAAAATGCATTTTTTTACAACAAAAAAATGAGATCATTGTTTTCTGGTCATCTCGATACACACCATGTAATTATAAGATGAAAAGGATTTGGAATACTTCTGCAAACAGGAAGTTGAAATGGAATTTAAAAAAAGGATGTGCCACCTTAAGGGCCGACTATGAATGCGTCCCTAGTAATTATAACTTTGGTTTAAACCTTCATTTTTGAGTCTCCATTTGCTGGTCTAGCTCTAACGTAATTTCTGATCTAGATGCAAGAGTTTTTCGCCAAACAAACCACCCGATTTTTTCGTCGGTAATACTAAGAAATATATTTGTCCTGTGCGACCAAAAGAAGCAGACTATTTACAACCTTATATATTTACTACATTGTAGGTATTTTATGCATGAAGTTAGTATATAATATACTCGGTACTCAATGTCTAATACATGATGAAAGCATTTCTGTTTGAGTTTTAAATCTTCATTTATCGTGCCGCACTACTTTTCATCTAATATACAGATTTTGTACAAGTTTGTTTCTCAAAAAACGTTCGTGTTGTCCCAATTGGCATCCCTTGCAACTTATTTGTTTACAAGATTTTCCAAAAAAAAAATGCTACTGAATAAAGTTTGTATGGCCAGCGAAAATGATAGTCGTTTCCCGATTCCAAATATACTTTTTAGGTTATTAACCTATCGTGGTTGTTTAGGTTATGGGCCCAGTATAAAAAACCTTTCCGCAAACGTCCCATCGCTGCGACCTGTTACTGGTCAGACTTCCGAGGTTATGAACCTATATTTTTTTGAGGTTATGGGCCCAGTATGATAAAGGTCCCATGTGCAACCTGTTAATGATCAGACCTTTGAGATTATGAGTTTGGTGTATCATATCGTTTTTTGATGTTATGGGCCCAGTATGACCAAAAATACTAATGCAAAGTTTTTTATTTACAAGGTATCCCAGAAAAATGCTAGTGAATAAAGTTTGTTTGAATAGCGAAAATAATCGTTTCCCGATTCCAAGTATATAAATGGTTTATCGTAGTTTGGTCAAAAAGTTGTTTTTTTTACAGGGAAGGTTTTAAAGCCGCCCAGGCAGAAAAGCTGGTATAAGACCAGATACATGACACATAAAATATAAATTTTGACTAAACTGGAATCATAAAAAAGCAACTATTGTTTTCATTAAAAAAATATAACTTTATCGGTAGCAGTTTTTTGAGGCAAAAAATGTACTGCAAATAGACTTGTATAATTTTTTTTTTCTAAAAGGTCATACAGAAAAATTGGAGGGAGAGTCAATTACAGTGAGACGCTGAGATGCTATTCGAATTAGGTTTTTTTATAGGCTTCACGGGAACTTGTATTACAACATACTAACTGGTCCAAGTTTTCTAAGGCGCCATAAACGTCATAAATAAAATATTTTGACTATGAATAATAATAAATCACATTATTTCTAGCCAAAATATCAACTGATACAAGGTGGTTGAAAGAGCAATTGCAATATTTCTAGAAGTAGAAGTACATCCAAAAATAACGTGGAAAGTTCCCATCAACACGTCCGGAAATGTCAGGGTGTTGAAAATTTCTATGCCATTTATGAGACTCGTTAAGGACAAAACGTGAATATTCTTCAAATAACACTGTGGTGAAGGGTGGTAGCTTCCCCATTATACAACATACCTTATCTTTAAAAACAATAATTTTGCAAAATGTGTTTCTTTTCCTATTGGTCAAAACATACCAGTTTCTTCGTCACTGGTGAGCTGCATTTTTTTATTGATTTATGGCCCTTGTTTATACGAAATATCCATACTATTATTGGACCTGTTTTCTGGTCTAGAAATATTGCTATTTTTTAATCACCCTTTATAAATTGACATAGTTCTGCGGTAGACTTGAGAGCGATAAACGCAAAAATAAAGTTGATAAATGTCAATAATGAAATGAAAATTGACTTCAGCTGATAGCTTTGAGGCTTGATTTGAAGTGAGAGGAAGATTAATTACAAATGCTTTTTGAAAAAGATGTTTTTAATTTTTGTTCGAAAATGATTCGTAAACATTCAGCTTAGTGTTTTTTAACGCGCATTTTTACTATTGCCGCAACTGACATGAAATTGTTACTATTTTTTAGGATGTGCGTCGTTTTAGTGCATTTTCATTATGTTTCAAGACTGTTCAATTGCCCCCATAAATAAATTTATTTCTAACAGAAGTTGTTTGATTGATTAAGGATTTTTTACAAACCTGACTTGATGAAGGTCAAGATATCCGACTATTTGTTGCAATATTTTAATCCCCAGAATGTCGAAAATACTGTAGAAGCTTTACAAAATGATGTTAATGATTTAATCAAATATTCGTCTGATCAAATGTCTAAAATTCTATTATTTTGTGCCCAGAAAAAGAAGGAACACTTAACGTCACTCTTGAAGGTCAAAATAAGTAATCAAAACTTTTAGTTGCGAATCTGCAAAAATTCTTGGTGCTTTGTTTTTGACACAAGGTTTGTGTGTTCTTAAACATGACATCAGTCATCCAAGAAAAGATCAACCTCTTTTCCGTGATTATTCGTATTCTCGGAATTTTTCAAGGACGGTGGTCGACAGGTATTTAGTTAGCATAAGTGGAATGTGTTAATCAATGATAGAAAAGTAGGAGGACGCTTCTTTATTAACTTAAAATTACAAATTAACCTATATAAGCGTAAAGGAGGACGTTCTTAAAACTAAAAAGACAGTTTTCAAGCTTTTGGCCCAGTGAAGTGTTTCTTCAGTCCCTGCCAACATTTATAATAGTCGGCATCCAATTTTTCGCAAGTTTTTGCTCCCCATTTCGTAACTGCCAGCCCCAAGCAACTCTCGAACATAAACGCCTGGAAACAGAATTATTTATAAGTAACGGGTGATTTATTAAGAGGTATATGATTTGATTTTCAAAAAAAACAAAAAATTTGAAAAAACGATTAAATCTTTATTCGAGTCGATAGAACGGTCGATATAATTTAATGTTTAAAGATTATTTGATGTAAATGTTGGCCGCGGCTCCGCTTTAGATGGTCCATGCGCAAGGTCCAATTTTGGCACACTCTCTCCAACATATCAGCCGGTATCGCACGAATAAATGCTTCAATATTGGCTTCCAGTGCGTCAATCGTTGCTGGTTTATCGCTGTAGACATTAGCCTTAACATGGCCCCACAAGAAATAGTCCAACGGCCTTAAATCACACGATCTAGGCGGCCAATTGACGGGCCCCAAACGTGAGATAAACTGTTCACCGAACTCGAATCTCAATAGGGCCATTGTTTCGTGTGCGGTGTGGCATGTGGCACCGTCTTGCTGAAACCACATGTCAGCCAAGTCCAGCTCTTCCATTTTGGGCAAAAAAAAGTTTATCATCGCACGATAGCGCTCGCCATTCACAGTTACGTTCCGGCCATTGTCGACTTTGAAGAAGTACGGCCCGATGATGCCACCGACCCATAATCCACACCAAACGGTGATTTTTTCGGGATGCATTGGTAGCTCTTGCAATGCTTCTGGCTGGTCTTCACTCCAGATGCGGCAATTTTCCTTGTTAACGTACCCATTCAACCAGAAATGAGCTTCGTCGCTGAACACAATTTTTCGATAAAAATGTGGATCTTCCTCCAACTTTGCCAGCGCCCATTCACCAAATTGGAAACGTTGTGGGAGGTCGTGTGGCTTCAATTCTTGCACCAGCTGTATCTTATAAGGTTTTACACCCAAATCCTCTCGCAAAATTTTCCACGTAGTGGAGTAACAGAGGCCCAATTGCTGCGAATCGACATTTCACGGTCATCACTAACACTGGCGGATACAGCCGCAATATTTTCTTAGTCCTCACTCTACGTCTGCGTGTTTGTGGTTTAATGTCCAATAATGTAAACTGGGTTCGAAATTTAGTCACAAGCTTCCGAATAGCTCCCTCAGTAGGCCGACCAAATTGCCCATAAATTGGAAGCAGTGCTCGATGCACTCTCTTAACCGAGCATGAATTTTGCTAGTAAAATTCAATAATTTGCAAGCGTTGTTCGTTCGTAAGTCGGTTCATGTTTAAATTAGAGACCAAACTGAACAAGTTTGACAATGACACAAGACACGATTCACGCGTCATCTGTCAAAAACAGTGTTGCCAAAAAGATACTAGCAAAAAAATCACCGATTAGTATGGTACTACTATTGAATCAGCTTCTTTTATCTCGCCACTGTATCTCCAAAGACATGAGCGCCCGCAGGAATCTTCATCATAGGGGGCCGATTATTGGCAAAAGACTGCGAAAGTGTACCTGCCCCCAAAATTATTTGAAGAGCTGCAAGTAGCAAATACTAAAAATTGTTAACAAAATCATGCTAAATATGAAATTTTCAAGCTCCAAACAAATTCTCCGGCGCCCATGTCCAAAGATAAACGTCTGATTTTTGAATTGAAAATAGAAAATTCTCCTTGTACCTTGGTTTTTATCAAATTTCTCTATCCTAGTGTTCTGATTTTTCCAACTTTTCTTTGTTTATGAATCCTAAAATGGCTTCAAAGTTCACAGTTATGAACAATATTACTCGCACTCTGATATCTTCGGATATATAAAATTTGTATATTTATAAAGGGTATCGCAAAACAATTGAAAATGGTTTTGGAAATCTCCAAAGGGATCAAAACATAAATGTTCGTCAGCGCAGATTTACCCGTATGATTCTGCGTGAGTTTGATAGAGATCCGACCACAAGTGTTAGGAGAGTTTCTGGTGCCTTGGGAATTTCAGCAAGCCATATTCACCGTGTTCTTAGAAATGCCTCATAGACGTCCTTACCATTTGCAATCTGTGCAAGGACTACAGCCAGGGGACGGAGAACGAGGAATCACATTTTGTCAGTGGATTCTTGATAGAACTGATAATAATATGGAGTTTTTAAGTAACGCTTTATGGACCGATGAGTCATGCTTCACTAGACGTGGAGTGGTAAATTTTCATAATCAACATATTTGGTCGCATGAAAATCCGCATGCAGTTCGGGAAAGAAATTTTCAGCATGAATTTAGTGTGAACGTGATTGGTATCTACCGTAATCGACTATTTGGACCCTACCTTTTGCCTGCAAGGTTAAATGCTGCGACCTTCTTGGAATTTTTAAAAGTTGAACATGCAAATATGTGGGATGATGTTATGTTAGTTTTAAGATTGGCCTGGTTCCAGCTTGATGGTTGTCAAGCTCATTATTCGAGAATAGTTAGAAACTGGCTGGACAAAAATTATCCAGAAAGATGGATCGGCCGTGGAGGACCAGTCGCCTGGCCTCCACGATCCCCTGACCTAAATCCATTAGATTTCTTTGTGTGGGGATTTCTAAAAGAAAAAGTGTACCAGACTGCCGTAACCACAAGAGATATGCTAATAGACAGAATCAGGAATGCATGTGATGAAATAAGGCCTTATTTGAATAATCCTATACCACGTTCGATCATTCGTAGATGTGAATTGTGTATTGAACAATTGGGTTTACATTTCGAGCAACTACTTTAGATTTTGTATGTTTGTCCTAACTATCCAATAGCATTTTAATTGTAAATAATTAATTTAATTTGTTAAAAATAATATTAGAAAATTAAACAAATTAATATTCTGTTTTTTGTGTTTATTTGGAGTTAGGAATTATTGCTGTGTTTAAAAACACAATCTAAACGATCATCTGAATTACTTGTAATGCCCAAATCGAAAATGTAAAAAATATTATTTTCCCATAAATAATTAAAAATGCATCGAACCTTAAAAATCGAAATATCTCAAAAACGGCTAACTATAACGAAAACTCACAGGAGAGCTTTTTTATGCAGAAAAGTGGGAAGAATCAGTTTTTTTATTCAAAAAGCAAAAAATTGCACTAAGAAAAATTTATCGGTCATTTCAATACACCACAGGTACAGTAGAGAGCGCCCTCTAGCGGCTACAGTAAAACTATGCACCATGGATCGTTTTGTCGTACCAAAAAACCCTTGTATACCAATTTTCACTGTTATACATCAAATATTGTTCGAAATATTTAAAAAAAACTATTTTAAAAAGTAAATTTAAACACCCTGTATTTCGGAAGCCACGCATTTTTCGACCCATGTTTATATAGACTTTATGCATTAATTTTAAAAGTTCTATCGAATCTTAAAGTTATGCAACAATAAACTGAAACATCCTGTATATAGCACTATATTAGGCATAGGCATATATCAGAAACTAGTTTTACCTAGAGAAACCGTTTTATAACCAAAATGGGGTTTAACTTTTAACTAGAGGTGTTGGATTGTGTTACATTATTTTTTTGGGGACGCAATAGGTTTATTCAAAAAATGTTTGTTGTTCAAAAAAGAGCAGTACGTCTGATGAAGGGACTAAATTTCAATGAAACTTGGAGACGTCCGCTATCCCACGAACGATGTGCCAGCGAGTTTTCACGAATTTGAATTCGAGATCCACAGAAGTGGCTCAAAAGTTACTAGACAGCCAATCATGACCACAGTATGAGTTTCATCAATATACAGGGTGTCCGCAAAGTTGGGGTTTTCCTTTACACGACGTGTAGATCTTGAAAACATAAGCAATTTTTCTTAGTACCATATACACCAATGTCTTAAGGGAAGATAAAGGGCTCTGCAACATCAAAAATATCTGAATACCGTCCTGTAGCCGCGATATCACCGAGTGGTACAAGGTCACTGGCTCAACCCGACGACAGAACTGGGTCGGGGTCAGTGTGTCAGGTCAGTATGCAACCTTCAACCGACGGTTACGGTCACGCGTGTAGAGGTAATCGCGTAGACGAGAATCCCTCAACAAGCACTAGAGACGTGGCTAGAGAAGTGCAAGTATCAAAAACTAAAGTGTGGCAAACGCTGCGTGAAGAGGGGCTGTATCCGTTTCACGTCCAACGTGTACAAGCCCTTCAACCTAACGAGTTTCCAGCAAGAGTGCGGTTTTGTGAGTGGTTGTTGCATCAACATGACAATAATCCGGACTTTTTGTCATATTGGTGACAGACGAATCTACGTTCACGCGTAATGGGGTGAATAACTTTCGCAACACTGATTTTTTGGTCAGTAGAAAATCCGCACGCTGTCCGTCGGGCATATTTTCAACAAACATTTTCGGTGAATGTTTGGGCTGGCATGGTGAACGGTATGCTCATTGGACCATTTATTCTCCCAAATCGATTGGACGGGATGCAATACCTATACTTTTTACGCAACATTTTGCCTTCCTTGTTAGAAGATGTGCCATTAAGTGTAAGACAATCAATGTGGTTTCTGCGTCTGCTCGGTAGCGCGTCAGCTGATTTCATTTTCTGTTGGAGCGGTATGATTTTGGGGCAGAGACGTACTTAGCCCTTCTCGTCAACTGGAGAGTGAGTACTTTTTGCTTTATTTTTTTTTACTTGGTCGCCCTCGTTTCACTACACATTACCTTTGTTATTTTAAGGGTAGTTGTTTCTGAAAAGGAAAACCCCAACTTTGCGGACACCCTGTATTTTTCTAAAATTGTGGTGTTTATCCAAAATCCAAAAATACCTATTTTGATATATCTTTTACCTGTGTTCCGTCAGCTACCCGGGTAGGTACCAGTTTCTCCTGAGAAGCAGCTTCAAAACACTTCACATCCGGCCCATGGGGCGTCATAATGCTGTGCAACGTGGCCCCTCCAGGCAAAAAAGCACCTTTCTTGGCTTCGTACTCTCCAAAAATCAGCCCCATGAATTCCGACATGCAGTTTCTGTGGTAATAGGGGGGCCTGAAAGTGTGCTCTTGAACTGACCATCTTGGCGGGAAAATTACGAAGTCCGCTATTGCCGTTCCGTGTTTTTCAGACTGGCATGTGAGAACTGTGAAGATCGATGGATCCTACAAATACAAAGTTCGGATGAGGATAGTAAATTGATTCAAATCTAATATTTCGTAGAGAACTGATTATAATTTCGGTGTATGTAAACAAAATGCTAAAAAAGTATGTTTCAATATACATGTTGCTCCAGTAAGGACTTATGATTTCCAAATTAGATTAAACAAATCAACGAATCCAGTCTAAGTAGCTTGAGCCTGTCAAGCATTTGTTTGTCTCCTAATTCTCAGTCTGTAGTATACTCGTTTTACATTGAAGGATTTCTTCATGAATTGAGTTCATGGTCAAATTTCAGAAGTGTAAAATAAGAATTTAACGTCAAACAAATCGGTGAAGTGTTATCAGGATTTCTTCACGAAATTAGAACAAGTTCTACTTTTTGCCAAGCTGGACGTCAAATTCCATTGTGCCAAACTTGTTTTCCTTTCCATTATATTGGAAAATTTTTCAATTCAAGTATAGAATTTTGATAGAACTGTATTATTCAACAATATGGTGTCTGTTTATGAGATTCGCCTCAAAATCAAAACCACAATAGACATAAAAGTTTAAAATATTTCTAGCCAGGATTTGTTGTGTGGTTGGCAGTATTGAGTACTGACAGATAATTTATAAATTTGTACACTGGTGTAAACACCGCAAAAACATAAACAGGGATGACCTTGAAGAAATACATCTGAAATCTGAATTAAATTCGTGAAGAAATTGTGATGTAAAACGGGTATTAGCGAGGATCAAAGTGCACTTGACGTATGTCAATTTCTTGACAGTTTTGTAATTAAATTCGTATATTTAGATTTATTTTCTAAAAGTGCGAGTGTTGGCAGATAATTTTGGTACTTTTTACATAATTTGCAAATAGCGGCACAAGCCTAATAAATGTAGATGTTTCCACTGCTAAGTATTATTATGTTGATATAACGCTGTCACTTTGGTAGGCATTGCTAGACAACTGTGTGAAAAGTACGCAATTTTGGCAACAAACAATACAATGTAAACATACTCCAATTTGTTGCTGAAAATAAAGAACCAGATGTGCGGTTGTGTGCGATGTGTGATTATACAGGGTGTTTCAGTTTATTGTTGCATAACTTTAAGATTCGATAGAACTTTTAAAATTAATGCATAAAGTCTATATAAACATGGGTCGAAAAATGCGTGGATTCCGAAAACAGGGTGTTTAAATTTACTTTCTAAACTAATAAATATAACAGTGAAAATGGGTATACAAGGGTTTTTTGGTACGACAAAACGAACCATGGGCATAGTTTTACTGTAGCCGCTAGAGGGCGCTCTCTACTGTACCTGTAGTGTATTAAAATGACCGAAAATTTTTTCTTAGTGCAATTTTTTGCTTTTTGAATAAACAAACTGCTTCTTCGCACTTTTCAACATAAAAAAGCTCTCTTGTGAATTTTCGTTATAGTTAGCCGTTTTTGTGATATTTCGATTTTTAAGGTTCGGTGCATTTTTAATTATTTATGATAAAATAACGTTAAAAAGTCAGTATCTCGATACTTTTTAGAAGTAGGCTGTGCCTGCAAATATTTTTGAAATTGAAAGCAGAATAAGGTTAAACGTCAATTAGTTGACAGTTAGTTTTGTTGTCTGTTGAAACCTGAAACGTTTTTTTGCAATTGTGAATGCACGAAATTTAGTTTCTTTTACCTGTTTTTTTTTGTAAGTTTTATAAAAATGCCATTTTTATTCTCCGATCAAGAGTTAGCGGATATTCATTTTGTGTATGGATTTGTAAATGGAAACGCAGCAGAAGCAGTCAGAGAATACGCACGAAGATTTCCAAACAGACGACATCCAACTCGCTCAGTATTTGTAAGAGTGCATCGCCAAATAATTGAAAATGGTTTTGGAAATCTCCAAAGGGATCAAAACATAAATGTTCGTCAGCGCAGATTTACCCGTATGAATCTGCGTGAGTTTGATAGAGATCCGACCACAAGTGTTAGGAGAGTTTCTGTTGCCTTGGGAATTTCAGCAAGCCATGTTCACCGTGTACTTAGAAATGACCATAGACATCCTTACCATTTGCAACCTGTGCCAGGACTACAGCCACTGGACGGAGAACGAGGAATCACATTTTGTCAGTGGATTCTTGATAGAACTGATAATAATAGGAAGTTTTTAAGCAACGTTTTATGGACCGATGAGTCATGCTTCACTAGACGTGGAGTGGTAAATTTTCATAATCAACATATTTGGTCGCATGAAAATCCGCATTCAGTTCGGGAAAGAAATTTTCAGCATGAATTTAGTGTGAACGTGTGGATTGGTATCTACCGTAACCGACTATTTGGACCCTACCTTTTGCCTGCAAGGTTAAATGCTGCGACCTTCATGGGCTGAACATGCAAATATGTGGGATGATGTTATGTTAGATTTAAGAAGATTGGCCTGGTTCCAGCTTGATGGTTGTCCAGCTCATTATTCGAGAATAGTTAGAAACTGGCTGGACGAAAATTATCCAGAAAGATGGATCGGCCGTGGACGACCAGTCGCCTGGCCTCCACGATCCCCTGACCTAAATCCATTAGATTTCTTTGTGTGGGGATTTCTAAAAGAAAAAGTGTACCAGACTCCCGTAACCACAAGAGATATGCTAATAGACAGAATCAGGAATGCATGTGATGAAATAAGGCCTTATTTGAATAATGTTATACCACGTTCGATCATTCGTAGATGTGAATTGTGTATTGAACAATTGGGTTTACATTTCGAGCAACTACTTTAGATTTTGTATGTTTGTCCTAACTATCCAATAGCATTTTAGTTGTAAATAATTAATTTAATTTGTTAAAAATAATATTGGAAAATTAAACAAATTAATACTCTGTTTTTTGTGTTTATTTCTAGTTAGGAATTATTGCTGTGTTTAAAAACACAATCTAAACGATCATCTTAATTACTTGTAGTGCCCAAATCGAAAATGTGAAAAAAAATTATTTTCCCATAAATATTTAAAAATGCATCGAACCTTAAAAAACGAAATATCTCAAAAACGGCTAACTTTAACGAAAACTCACAGGAGAGCTTTTTTATGCTGAAAAGTGTGAAGAATCAGTTTTTTTATTCAAAAAGCAAAAAATTGCACTAAGAAAATTTTGTCGGTCATTTTAATACACTACAGGTACAGTAGAGAGCGCCCTCTAGCGGCTACAGTAAAACTATGCCCATGGTTCGTTTTGTCGTACCAAAAAACCCTTGTACACCAATTTTCACTGTTATACATCAAATATTGTTCGAAATATTTAAAAAAAAACTATTTTAAAAAGTAAATATAAACACCCTGTATTTCGGACGCCACGCATTTTTCGACCCATGTTTATATAGACTTTATGCGTTAATTTTAAAAGTTCTATCGAATCTTAAAGTTATGCAACAATAAACTGAAACACCCTGTATTTTTTAAGATTGGGTAAACTTACACAATGGTCAAACGACACCGTATTTATAACCATAAACTTGCTCAGGTCGTACTTGTATGGCACGTAGTTCCCGTGCCATGCGACAACGTCAAAAGGGCTGTGATCCTGTTCACAAACGGAAAGTTTCCCTTGATACTTCGATACGATCTCGTACGTTTCTTGGGTGTCTTCGTATCTAGCCACAGGTGTCTGGAAATCCCTCGGATTGGCCAAACCATTTGCCCCAATAGGACCTAAATCCGGTATGGTGAAGTGTCTGCCAAATACTTCTAGGATGTATCCTCTAGAAGTTTGGGAGATTTCCACCTTGAATCGCATTCCTTGTTGGATCACAGCGATTTCGTTTGGTTTTACGGACATTTGGCCAAATTCAGTCGTTATTTTTAAGGTTCCAAGCTGAGGCACTAACAACAGAAAGTAATATTAGTTTAGAGTGATTCACGAAGAGAAAGAAGGAATTTTCTATCTCAAAAGAATGTTCCTGATTAACGTCAATATTACTGAGTTAAATATTAGACTACTGCATAAGTAACGGTGCTTATAGCTTAGTATGTTTAACTATACGGTGGATGTCTATTTTGGAGATTTTCTCTGTTTGATGAGTCTGATTTCTTAAATAAATAAATAAATCTAAGTACAAAAATGTTCCTGGCAACTATTGGGATTGTAAAAGCTACGGAATTAAGCTCGCGCAGATTTTACATTCTGACTAAAACATGCACGATGACATAAATACTTTCTAGATGTCATTTTTAGTAACGAAAGTGCGCATGTTGTACGTCTAAACTCGGTTTTTTCCAACAATGAATCTCTGATAGTCCGCAGAACTATCATTTACAGCAACATCGTGTTATTAATCTGTTGACTGTACCTATATCTGATAGTCAAAAAATTCGTGGTTGGAAATAACCGACTATATCTCAATGAAGAAAAGTTACCTATCAGAAAGTCACCATCAGCGTTGTAAAAAGCTCGTTTTTCCATAGACTTGTTGCAAGAAAAAATATGTACGGCTAAACCAAGCTTCAGTTTGGGATCGCCAGCACCACAAATTGTGTTTAATCCTTCGACAAAATCAACATTCCCAGTTTTTGGGAGATTGAATGGGTTCCATCTCATCTGAAAAGTAATTGTACAGTTTCGAAATTCGAAAATTCGGAAATATCAGTGTTAATGATAACAGTGGTTCAGCCCTATCTATTCTTATATGTTGGCCAGGGATTTGAGGTGTTACATGCATTGGAACATAATTTTTAGAAACGTCTGGCATATATTCTAAGATATTTGGCTCGAAAGTTTCTTTTATTATTTTATTTGGTAATGGTAAATACCGAGTTTTTTTTAGTTTACCTATTGTTGCTTGTTTGATTCTTGTTCCCTATGTCTAGACCTATATTGTACCGATTATTGCTAAAAAGCATGAAACAGAATAGATACAGAAAGCAAACAGATCCAATTCAGCCTGTGAATTATACAGGGTGTCCGCAAAGTTGGGGTTTTCCTTTACACGACGTGTAGATCTTGAAAACAAGCAATTTTTCTTAGTACCATATACACCAATGTCTTAAGGGAACCGTCCTGTAGCCGCGACTCGCGACATCCCCGACTGGTACTAGGACACTAGCTCAACCCGACGACAGAACTGGGTCGGGGTCAGTGTGTCAGATCAGTATGCAACCTTCAACCGACGGTTACGGTCACGCGTGTAGAGGTAAACGAACCCGTATAATCGATTGCGTTTCAAAAAACAACAAGCACTAGAGACGTGGCTAGAGAAGTGCAAGTATCAAAAACTAAAGTGTGGCAAACGCTGCGTGAAGAGGGGCTGTATCCGTTTCACGTCCAACGTGTACAAGTCCTTCAACCTGACGATTTTCCAGCAATCATCCGGACTTTTTGAAGTGCATATTGGTGACAGACGAATCTACGTTCACGCGTAATGGGGTGAATAACTTTCGCAACACTCATGTTTGGTCAGTAGAAAATCCGCACGCTGTCCGTCGGGCACATTTTCAACAAACATTTTCGGTGAATGTTTGGGCTGGCATGGTGAACGGTATGCTCATTGGACCATTTATTCTCCCAAATCGATTGGACGGGATGCAATACCTAGACTTTTTACGCAACATTTTGCCTTCCTTGTTAGAAGATGTCCCATTAAGTGTAAGACAATCAATGTGGTTTCTGCGTCTGCTCGGTAGCGCATCAGATGATTTCATTTTCTGTTGGAGCGGTATGATTTCGGGCAGAGACGTACTTAGCCCTTCTCGTCAACTGGAGAGTGAGTACTTTTTCCTTTATTTTTTTTACTTGGTCGCCCTCGTTTCACTACACATTACCTTTGTTATTTCAAGGGTAGTTGTTTCTGAAAAGGAAAACCCCAACTTTGCGGACACCCTGTATATAAGTGTGTACAAAATTGAACGTACGAATTTTGAGCAGCGTCATAAAAACGTACTGTAGAATTTACTGAGCGCAGACCACGTACAGTCTGATTCCGTTGCTGCTATATGGGACAATACTGCAGTAAAGTGCAAAAATCGAAGTCTGGAAAAATTGGGTTTAAAATTCTGAATTTTTTCGAGCTAAAATTGTTGCGGTGGAACAAAAGTGAATGAAAGTTACACGTCATTTAAATGTGATTTCGTATAATAATTGTTGTCGAGCCAAAAATAAATGACATTCCGTCTTTGCCATAACTCAAAAAGCAGTAACATGTGATTTACTGCCGTTATACGTTTTAAAAACAAATTTACCGCCTTTAACCGTAATTTTCATAATCGGTTTATTTTATTTTTCAAAGGAAAAACGCCAATAATACAGAATTTATTTTAAGTTTTCATAAACAGCACAAAAGTAATATTTTTTTAATAAATAAACAGTGCAAAAGTAAATCTTTTTTTAACCTCTAATAATTTAATTTAATAATTATATTACAACACTTAGCAATTACATTCAACAAAAATAATTACATAAATAAACTAAAAACGTCATGCTTCACGTCGCGTCGCAATTATTCTTTTGGAGCAAAAGTAATCAATAATAACGATAAAAATAACTAATTCACAAATATTATTACTTAAAACATCTAAATAAGTAAACATCATAATAGGCTATAAACGCTAAAAAGGCAGTACTTGTATCATACAGAGAATACAAAAAGTTTAATTCGAAAACTACTGCTTTTTTACTTTGATAAATCGACTTACTGCTTTTATGTTTAGGAAATGTAACATGAAATATTTGACAAAGTGAAAAAATAACGACTCTTCTTGAATAACGTGATCAATAATATATTGTGTAATTCCAGTCGTAAAAGAATTGTATTGGCGTCAAACTTTAAAAAGGCAGTAAACGAACTTTAGGTACCGCCAGCGCCACCTTCAACTAACGAGCCATGAACAGTAGATATAGCAACGCAGCTTTGGGGTCTTCCACAGACAGGTGTTTGCCGGGCTTTTCGTTTGTTTATATTCCTAACCTCCGACTTTTTGGTGCAATTTTGTTGTAAATCTCTGGGAACAGTGCAATTCATACAAACCAGAGTAATCTACTTAGTTTTGCTCTTCAAACCGTGCAGAAAGTATTTATTTTAGGTAGTATAAAATCGTGCTTTGATGTGTTTAGTGAAATTGTTTTGTACTTTGTACTCGTAAATTTGAGATTCATCAAAAAAATGCTCGAATCGAAGTTTCTGTAAAAGCGCGTTTTCACGGGTCGATCTAAGTTGAACCACCTGGGTTATTCGACCATGGTTCGATCTGAGTTGAAAGCAAAAAGGTTTACACGATAGGCGATGTATGTTGACCAAAAATAAAAACGACACCACTTTGCTTTCGATTCAATGTTCGACACAAATTGTTCGACTCAGATCGACCCGTGAAAACGCGCCTTAATAACGGCACACACCAGCTGGACGGCCGGACCCCAAAATGCCATGATGCGATGTTGCCTTTTTCTCTTCATGGCTCGTTAGTTGAATTTGGAGCTGGTACCGCAGTAGAGGCGTATTACCTGTCTGGGCCTCAGCCAGTGTTGCCATTTACACTGCTCTACGAGGGTGGTCCCAGAAGTACCCGGTCTGACTTAGAGATGGCGATAGTTGTTTGAAAAATATCATTGTATTAGAAAGTATGCAACCTATAAAGCATATGTATCAAGTTTTAAGGCGCCACGTTGTTTTGTATTTGTTTGACAGCCATCAATACTGAATGTTTTCAGTGAATTTGGGAAAATTTTATACTTTTATTTCAAAGGCCTCAGCCCAACCAATATAAAAGCTGAACTGGATTCTACTCTGGGTGAGTCTGCTCCTTCGTTTACAACAGTAAAATATTGGGTAGCAGAGTTTAAACGAGACCGTATGAGCTGCCAAGACGAGCATTGCAGTGGTCGACCAAATGAGGTGACGACTCCAGAAATGCTGAAAATTCACAAAGCGGTACTGAATGATCGTCGACTGAAAGTGCGCGAGCTAGCAGACATAGTAGGCATTTCAAAAAGTGCGGTTCATCACATATTTGAAAATTTGGACATGAGAAAGATGGGTGCCGCGATTGCTCACAATCGAGCAAAAACAGTGTCGTGAAGATGTTTCAATTGAGTGTTTAGCGAAGTTTCACAGCAACAAAGTAGAATTCTTGCGTCGTTTCGTAACCATGGATGAAACATGGGTCCATCACTTCACACTCGAGACAAAAGAACAATCAAAACAATGGACTCAAAAGGGACAACCGGCTCCAAAGAAGGCGAAGACCGTTTCATCTGCAGGCAAGGTTATGGCGTCGGTTTTTGAGATGCGCGTGGGATAATTTTCATTGACTATCTTGAAAAACATACCTGGGATGACCTATTCGAATACCTCGCCGTCCAGATCGACTTCCTGAACATCAATCACCCCGCTTCAGAGGTAGTTCTTCTCGGTGATTTCAATGCCCATAATGAGCTTTGGTTGAGCTCAAATAAGACCGATGCAGCAGGTCGTGCAGTCGAAGCGTTCGCTCTTACTCAAGGGCTGACCCAGCTGGTGACGAGCGCTACTTTTTTCCCCCGGGTCTCGTCACACTCCAGTAGCCTGCTGGATCTCTTTCTGACCACGCATCCTGCCCCTTACAGCACTGCTGTCCTGTCCCCCCTGGGTAACTCAGATCACGGTGTTGTGGAGGTTAGGTTTCGGTCAGAAGCCGCTGTGGCAGCAGAAACTCGCACAGGCCGCAAAACTTGGCATTACGGACATGCCGACTGGGAGGGGCTCAGAGACTTCTTCTCTAGCTTTCCTTGGAGAGATGTCTGTTTCACTGACGCGGATGCGTCGACTGTCTGTTCTTCAATAACCGAAATTATCCACGTCGGAATGGAGGAATACATCCCTCACACAGCGAAAGTTCCTAAACCAGGGTCCAACGGCTGGTTCAACAAATCTTGTGACACTGCTCGCCAGCAGAAGATCAAGGCCCACAGAACCTACTTACAAAACCCCACTGTAGAGAACAGACAAGCCGACGTCGAGTCCAGAAACAAATATAACGAAGCGGTTCGCAATGCCAAAACCCAGCATGATATAAAAGTTAGGCACAGGGTAATGTCGCAGCGCAATGGCAATCGGTCTTTCTGGACGCTGGCCAAGCAGATTGAAAAGAACTTCTCACACAGTAGCCTTCCACCACTTACGTGTCAGGATGGAACTATTGTATTCGACTCAAAGGCCAAGGCGGAAGTGCTAGCCAAGATCTTTGCTGCCAACTCCACCATGGACGTCCCCACCAACGCCCAAGTGCCGTCAATTCAAAGGGTTCCCCACACTATGCGGGAGGTAACATTCAGGCATAAGACCATAAGACGAGTGCTCTTGTCGCTCGACACCAACAAAGCTTCTGGTCCGGACTTGATTCCTGCCATTGTACTGAAGAGATGTGCAGCTGAGCTTGCTCCAGTTCTTTCGCGTCTCTTCCAGATATCTTATGAATCTGGCACCTTCCCAGAAAACTGGAAATTTGCTCATGTACAGCCCATCCCAAAAAAAGGATCTAAAATCGACCCTTACAACTACAGGCCTATAGCTCTGCTTTCTGTTATAAGTAAAGTGATGGAGAGGTGCATAAATCGCGAGCTTCTGGACTACCTCGAACGTCACAGCTTGATTAGCGACAGGCAGTACGGTTTCCGGCACCAACGATCCACAGGGGACCTCCTAGCTTACGTCACGCAACTGTGGAGTAAACTCATCCAGTCTCATGGTGAGGTTCATGTCGTTGCTCTTGACATCACGAAAGCGTTCGATCAGCTGTGGCACGCTCTTGAGCAAACTTCCATCCTACGGCCTCCCAGAAAAGTTTTGCGGATGGGTGGCTGACTTTCTCACTGGCCGCAAGATATCCGTCGTAATTGACGGATTCTCCTCTTCATCCCACAACGTCAACGCGGGTGTTCCCCAGGGGTCGGTCTTGGCTCCAACACTGTTTCTCTTACATATCAACGACCTCCTTTCCTGCACGATCAACCCAATCCACAGCTTCGCTGATGACAGCACTCTGCATGCAGGGATTCAGAGTGACAAGCCGATCTCTGCCGCTGAGCTGGAAAAAAGAAGACTAGCGACGACTTCTTCTCTGACAAGAGACCTGGAGGCTATCACTGCTTGGGGACGCAACAATCTTGTACAGGTCAATGCTTCCAAAACACAGTACTGTACTTTGACGAACAAAAAGCGTCCTAGCGCTCATACAGTTTCGATGGACGGTCGAGTTCTACCAAAGAACCATTCATTTCGGCTGGTCGGAGTCCAGATCACCGAGGACCTGATCTGGCACGAACACATCTCTTCAATAGCTGCAGCTGCTGGGAAAAAGCTAGGCTATTTGTTTAGGGCTAAGAAGTACTTTTCTCCGCATGACCTTCTCACTCTATACAAGGCCCAGATAAGGCCTAGCCTCGAGTATTGCTCACACATTTGGGGTGCTGCCGCCCCGACTACATTGTCCATGCTCGATGCTGTCCAGAGGAGGGCGGTCCGACTGATCGATGACTCTTCCCTAACAGACAGTCTCGGGACTCTTTCGCACCGGCGGGCCGTCGGCGATCTAGCACTTTTCTATCGCTACACCAACGGGCTTTGCTCCTCAGAGCTCTCTTCCATGATGCCGCCGCGCGATGCGCCTGCCAGACAGACCCGCCTGACTTCGGCGTCCCATCCTAACCGTGTCAAACTTTGTACATCCAGAACTGGCCGATACGACCGCTCCTTTGTCCCGAGGGTGTCTAGATTGTGGAACAATCTACGGGAGGAAGCTTTTCCCAGTTCTACTAACCTTAGGCAGTTCAAAAATCGTATTAACAAAATTTCTTTGGTATCATCATAGCAGCCGCGGTGTTCCGGCATTTAGGCTTCTGCCTGCGCGGCTGTTTCGATATAAAAAAAACTATCAACGGCGAGTATTATGCGAACTTATTGCAACGTTTGAGCGATGAAACCAAGCAAAAACGGCCGCATTTGGTTAAGAAGAAAGTGTTGTTTCATCAAGACAATGCACCAGCTCACAAATCCGTTATTGCAATGGCCAAAATTAACGAATTAAAGTTTGAATTGCTACCTCATGCACCCTATTCACCAGATTTAGACCCCTCGGATTATTTTCTGTTTCCAGACTCGACAAAATGGCTCAGTGGTCAAAGATTTTCCAACGATGAAGAAGTGATGTCGGCAGTTAATGGCTATTTTGAGGAGCAAGACAGTTCTTATTATAAAAAGGGTATAGAAATTATTGTACATCGCTGGGAAAAGGAGATTATGTTGAAAAATAAATACATTTTTTTACAAAAAATTTGTGTTTTCTTCGTTGGGTCGGGTACTTCTGGGACCACCCTCGTATGTTTAGGAAATGTTGATTATGTTGACAAATAAATGCATTTTTTACATTTTTGTGTTTTCTTCGTTGGGTCGGGTACTTCTGGGACCACCCTCGTATGTTTAGGAAATGTAATATGAAATATTTGACAAAGTAAAAAAATAAAGACACTTGTTAAATAACTTGATTAATGATATATTGTACGTAATAATTCTAGTCATAAAAGAAACGTATTGGCGTCAAACTTAAAAACATTCAGTAAACGACCTTTACGTACGGCAGTAGAGGCGTATTACCTATCTGGGCGAGAAGTCCTCAGCCAGTGTTGCCATTTACACTGCTCTATACCATGTTTGAATTACGAAATCTGAGTCATACCTGATTTGGATCGGGCTCTTCCTCGTTCCAATCGCAAGTCAAATTTCCCTTTCCAAAACGCCTGAAAGGTTTGTGAACGACAGACGGTCGGATCCTGTACAACCAGCTCCTCTTATTTTCGACTCTGGGCGCAGTAAAGGCTGTTCCAGATAACTGTTCGGCGTAGAGCCCATATGGACACTTTTGGGGGCTGTTTTGACCTTCAGGAAGAGATCCTGGACATCTAGTATCTTCAGAGGAAAATTCAGAGCCGAAACCATTCAAGTACTAGTAAAAAAAATCGAATATCCTTAAATGGGGCATAAACAAATCCAGATGGTGGTAAGTGACATATAAATCCGAACGCCCAGTTTAAATGGTTTTATTTTAATAAAATTTTGTATAAGTACTTAATGAAGCATAATAAGTAAATGATAAAAATTTCAAAATGATTGCACTGCTTTAAAGCCCTTTGACCTTTAATAATGTGTGGGTGCACCCTGATGTGCTACGCATTCTCCAATGCGCCTAAGCATGCTTCTGATCAGGTGGTCAATGTCCTCCTGTGGTATCTCATTCCAGGCAACCACCAACTCCTCTCGAAGTGCTTCTAGAGTCTGAGGACGTTGCAAATTGAGCAATCTCCTACCCATCATATCCCACACGTGCTCAATTGGGGATAAGTCGGGAGATCTTGGTGGCCATGGTAACAATGTGACATCATTATGTTGAAAGAAGTCTATTGTGACTCTTGCAACATGTGGTCGGGCATTATCTTGTTGGAAAGTTGGATCTGCCAGGGTGTCAAGATAGGGTAAAAGATGGGGTTCTAGAACTTCGTGGATATAACGCTGCGCGTTCATGTTACCTCTGATGAAGATTAAAGGTGACCTGGAACCATAAGCTATAGCACCCCAAACCATAACTCCAACAGTGTGATGAACATGTCTTTCAACAAAAAACTGTGGATTCCTCCTTTCACCACGTCGCCTTCTAACCCTGGCACGACCATCGTGCATGCCTAAACAAAATCGAGACTCGTCACTAAAGACAATACTGTTCCATTCCTGATCCCAGAGTGCACCACTCAAGGCGATTACGTCGGTGTTCTCGAGTTAACGGGAGGACCCAGTGTGGCCGGTATGTAAACAAGCCAAAACTGCTCATTCGTCGGTAAACACTTCGCATGCCAATAGGTCTTCCGTGTTCTGCAAAACCATTCATTTGCAATGGACCTGGTAGTGGAGAAACGGTCCCTTAAGGCCAATAATCTTAGGCGGCGATCTTCACGGTCTGTTGTTCTACGGCGGCGTCCAGTGCCCCTTGCTTTTTGCGTACGGCCTTCTCGAAGCCATGCCTGACAACACCTAATCACAGTGTCTACACTTCTTTGCACTCTAACTGCAATTGCCCGAAAATAAAGTCCAGCTTCCCGAAGTCCCACTATACGGCCCCTATCAACCTTGCTCTTTGCGTACGGCCTTCTCGAAGCCATGCCTGACAACACCTAATCACAGTGTCTACACTTCTTTGCACTCTAACTGCAATTGCCCGAAAAGAAAGTCCAGCTTCCCGAAGTCCCACTATACGGCCCCTATCAAACTCACTAAGTTGACGAAATCGTACAGGTCTCCGTACTCTAGGCATCGTAACCGATCGTAAAGGATGTCAAGAACCAAAATCCGCCAACGTTGATTCTTTACTGCGGCTGAAATATTCATTTTTAGAGCGTTAGTGAATTAAAAAAAAGCAGTATAAAAACCGGAATGTCCAACTGATAAGGCTGAAAATTTTTTCACTTGTTATTTACAGTAAGATAAATACATTCACCAACTTTTATTAAAATAAAACCATTTAAACTGGGTGTTCGGATTTATATGTCACTTAGTATATAATAACGTTAATAGCTTTATGGACAACTTTATCTAATACCACGTGTAATTTTTTGAACTATATGGTAAATGGAAAGTTTTGAAGATTAGTACTGTGATTTGATCTAATAATCAAACTTTCTGTATGGTCATTTTAAGAATCCATGCACATTTTTGTTTTTTGATTATAGTAAAATTTGAATTAACATCTCAAAATATATTGTAGTCTTACCTTCAATTCAGCCATGTTTACAGCTTTGTGCTAACAAAGATACTGAGAATAATGGCTGAATGAATATTCTGATAAACAATATTAAAACTTTCCGAGATCTTGTAAGAAAAATTCTTAGACCAGTTCTTGTTTATCAGGTATGGAAATGACGAAACCTTGTTGCCTTACGATGCCGGTTTTATATTAATGTAAATTGAAGATATACATAACACGAGAATGTTCTATCGCGAATCTATGATTTTAATATATTTTTTATCAATACAAGTTATGTGCTACTATTGAGAAATATATTCAAAAACATAGTCGTATCAATACAAAGATATGTATCAACAATTCCGAGCTGGGCAGTACATGAAAACATCATTACTTACGAAAATATTCATTAGTTGTCATGTACACACTGATAGCTGCTAAAATCAGCTCAAAGAAGATGACGTCAAGTAGATTGACTATGTGTCGCAATTCTTGAGTCAAATTTCGTGTTTTAGTACCTGTACCATTCGCTGTGGACATGGAAACAGCTGGTGATGTTATAGCAGTGTTTCCCAAACTTATCTCAAACGCGACCCTTTATTGTTTTAAACATTGTTCACGACCCCCCTAATCTCCCAATTCATCACCAAAACGAAAATGACAAAAATATCGCACCTAATCTTCAAATAATTGATGCTTTTTCCAATTTTATTTTACTTTACTAAGTTCAAAATGAGTATATTAAAATAGTTCAATTATTTTAATAATTGCTATCTGTATCGCTAGACTCATTAATATTTTGTTTTACGTTTCGCTTGATTATTAGTTGTTTTTATTCACGGCGTTATTAAAATTATTGAAATACAGCAGACGCTCGATAACGTAAACACGGGATAATGAAAACTTGCACTAATGTAAACACAAACTTCGTTCTATAGGATCAAACGGAACGCGCGATAACGTAAACAATGTGTACGCTCGATAACGTAAACAACTCTCGGCGCACGGAAACAGCGAGACGGTAAAATGCTGAAGCCTCGATGATTTATGTCGGGCGTCGGGGAGTCCCCGATTTATGATGTAGAGTGTAGGGGATTCACCTCTGCAATAAAATACGACAAACTCGGTCAGTCGTATGATCGTTTAGGATACGTTTATACGTACGTATATATTTCATTTTTGAACTTAAGTGAATACATTGCACGCGTTAATATTTTTTACGACTATGGCATCCACATCCTATAAAAGAAAGTGTTTAAACTTGAGTGAGAAAGTGAAAATCATAGACGAAGTTGCACTAGGTGCGGGAGTGATACAGTTAGCAAAAAAATATGGAGTATCGAAAGCAACAATCTGTAAAATTAAGCGTATGAAAACTCAAATTTTACAAAGAACGTGCAATACATTTGGAGGTCCGGGAAAAAGAAAAACTTTAAAAAATGCGAAGGCACCTAAAATGGAAAATTCCCTGTATAAGTGGTTTTTAAAACAACGGGAAAATCATGTCCCAGTTAGTGGCGAAGTACTTAAACAGAGAGCGAGACTGTTAAATGAAAAACTGAAAGAAACTGAAAATTTCGTAGCTAGTGATGGCTGGCTACAACGATTCAAAACAAGATATGAAATTCGACTGCTGTCTATATCTGGTGAAAAATTATCAGCACAACCACAATTAGTGCAACCATTCAAAGAAAAATTGATGAAAACAATTACCGAGCTAGATTTAAGAATGGAACAAATTTACAACGCAGATGAAAGTGGCCTTTATTGAAAAATGTTACCAGAGAAAACCTATGCTGCATCATTTGAAAAATCTGCCCCGGAAGGGAAGCCGGAGAAACAACGAATAACGTTTCTAGCCTGCACTAATGCTAATGGTTCACACAAAATAAAGCCACTGGTAATTGGGAAAGCCAAAAATCCGCGCTCATTTGAAAATATTAATATCCCTGTTGATTATAACTGTTCAAAAACCGCTTGGATGACTAGCAGTATATTCCTGAAATGGTTCCACAGGTGCTTTGTCCCTCAGGTATGACAATCAATTATCACAAATGCTCTATTCATAATTTGAAGATGTGTTTTCAATTTGTAGGTAAAAGGTTTCCTAAAACAACAGAAGCTTCCAATAAAAGCGTTGTTACTATTGGATAATGCACCAAGTCATACTCCCGAGCAACAACTGAGGAGCAGGGATGGGTCAATTTTCATGTACCCCAACGTAACACCGTTAATTCAACCGATGGACCAGAATATAATAAGACTCACCAAACTATACTATAGGAAGTTTCTACTTTCGTCTGTCTTATCAAAGAATCCTGAAAACTTACCTGAGGCTTTAAAAAAAGTAACATTACGAGAAGCTGTTTTAGATTTACATATGACCTGGAATAAACTTAACCAGCAAACTATTCAAAAATGTTGGAACAATCTCTTTTGTACCAATAATGAAGATGATGAAGAAGACGATGTCCCCTTAAGCGTAATTAGAGAACGTTTGCGATCCAATAATGATAATGTTATTAGTGCGTCATTGGATGTTGTTGATTTATTGAAAACAGTGAATCCCAACATTGTTTGTACTCCTGCTGATAATAATTTATGGAACGAAGATAAGCAGACGAATGATGCTGATAAGGAGGAGGATATGGACATTGAGGATGATGAGAACGATCCCATTGAAGTCAGAAGTGTAGTGACTGACGCGCAAGCTATACAAGTTTTTAACCAAGCTTTAGATTGGGCTGAAAGAAAAGAAGTTTCATACACGGATATTTTAGTTCTTCGTAAATTACGGGCGCAGGCATTGGAGGACAATGCTAAGCGCAAATTTACGCAGACAAAAATTGTTAATTATTTTTCTTCTAATTAAAAAAATACTTATCGCTGTTAGAATATTTGTTTATTTTGTTATAAATAGTATGTATTAAACGTTTCTTTTAATATATCAAATATATAAATCACGTTCGCTAATGTAAACATTTCGATAATGTGAACCACACTTAGTTTACATTATCGAGCGTCTGCTGTATATGATTTAACAAAGTGGTGTTTTTGTCTTATTTGGAAATTTCCGGCAACCCCCTAGTACTTCATCGGGAGATCGCCACCCACACTTTGGGAAACACCCTGCTAGAGAATGATATAATTTAATTATTTTTTTAAGTAATCGTCCCTGACTGTACATTGTGCATAATATTTGCATAGCTTACGTAAAACCTCGTATCTTTGCATTGTCACGACGACCCAAAGGCGGATTTAAGATTTCGTCGTATTAAAGATTGAAACTTAAAAAACTTCATTGCTCTGATAACCGAAAAAAAAACATTCCACACAAAACAATGTCTTTGATGGCGAAAACAAACATAAGAGCGAAACATTAACTTTATCGTATGGACGCTAGACGAGACAAAAAAGGATGTCTATAAACCATCAACAGATCGTGTCTTGAAACCATCTAAAGACCGCCTATAGACAAGTTGCGCAACAGGGTCTACTAGTGTGTACTAAGCTTAAGGATTAAGACTCTGAACTGCCCATTAAACAAATCAAGTAATTGGTGCAAATACTGACACAATCAAGCACTTCTATTATATCAGCAGGTGATAAAAATATCAATAGTCAATTAATTTTTGAAATTCAGTATAGATGTTACAGTTTTTCTTCAGGTTGACGAACTTAGATTTACGGCATAGTTGTTGTTTTCTCAGTTTTCGCAGGTAAAGGATCTCACGTGTTCCTGGATAGTTGGTGTTGCTATAGTCGTAGAATATTATTAGAAACATGCGTGATATTATGATTATGGCAATTAGGTGGGTAATACCCACTTCTGAATAACAGAACGTCTTACAATGATACCAGGGGTGCATCATTTACAACCCACAATTTTCGAACCCTACAATTTTTTCTCAAATGATCTAGACTCTCTGAAACGTTAAAAAAACGAAGTTTTAGATTTTTTCTTTTTTGGCGTAGTATATAAACAGTAATAACCTTGTGTAAAAAACATATAACATGAAAAAACTTACATATCTTATTTTTGATATTTTTCGCGATTATATTATTACTTCTTTGTCAGTTTCGTAGGAAGTAAAATGAGACAAAACAAGACTCGTTTGTTAGGGAAATCGGGTGGGTAGATCCCGAGTTTGACGTCAATTTGTTGGTATGGTCCAAAATATTGGTACTACATAACTTACTTTTTGAGTCATTTGCTCTGGTTTAACAGATGAAGAGGAGGGAATAAAAATCCATTGTGTATGAACAAAAATGTAATTTGAAAAAATGGCGTCAAGTAGGTTGACTTTGCATTTCCCTCGCAACAGCTGACGAGTTCATAGATTATGTACAAATATGTATATATCAAGTTTTTGGGGCAAATCTATGTGTGAAGTATGCCTTTTAGGAGCATAGAATTACCGCGATTGGAAGCGTATAAATATAATAACACAAAAAATTGAGATATACCCTCACCCCCCAGTTTTTAACCAATACAATTTTTTTTTCCGAAAATGATCAGGTGCCTCTGGATCGTCTAAAAACGAAATTTGAACCATTTTTTTATTCTCATTTTCAGATTTTTTTTCACGGTTACAATGCACATGCCGAACTTCGAAGAGCCATAAAATGGTTAAACTACGAAGGATTTAGAAGAGACGTTAAAATATTTATTTTGGATAAATATACTTACATTATTCTTTTCAACCTTTCACCTCACAAAATTGTTCTATATAAAATTGTAATAATTTATATTTTATACACACTTACTTAAACAACCATCATTACTTTTGTTTACATTGAAATATGTTTTTTTCGGGTTAAGTTCGCCCCTAATAAAGACAGTTATTTCCTAAAAAATAAAAAACACGACAAATATGCAAAATTCGTTTTTAAATTAATTTGTAACGGCAGAGATGAACGGCATCAGAAATAAAAATCCATTTTGTACCAACACATTTAATATAAAAAAGGAGTACACTTCCTAAATTAAAAAATATTTTTCAAAAAAACAAACACAGAAAGTTAATTTGCAACGGCTTCGATATCGGATGCTTGCTGCTCAGGTTCTTCATCATTATAAATATTCTCGGCCATTTGCCAAACTTGCATAATGTTATCTTCTGATACAGAACATATGACCCACGGTTCGTTAGGGTTCCAGCTGAAATCTGAAAAGAAAAATATAACACCTGAAACGTTCCTAAGATATTTTTGCAAATTACAGGCCAACAAGATTTTTACCCAGAATCTAAAGTATATAGTTTATTCGCTGAAAGAAAGCAGTTACGTCATATTTAGTAAATTTGAATGCCAACCTTGATGCAAAATAGATCCTAAATTGGTACGTTTAGTTTGAATTTCCTGGTACATTTATGTTGGTAACAGTTTTCCCTGCTGTAACATTGCACAAAAAACGATCGGTATTTTTAATTCAGAGGCCCGAGTAAAGATAACATGGCCACGCAAGGCAGCTATTGAAATATACTCTACTACAGTATATTCAGATAAGAGATAGACCGGATGTAAACAAAAGGTTCGGGTGATTTTCACGCTAACGCAGCCGTCTCGACGTAAAACAGGAGCCCTCATTGGTCAATTCGCAATTAAATGATTATGCCGAGCGGCAGAGCAGTCGTATCAAGGCAGAGTCACATTCAGGTTCAGACGTGTTACGTATGTCGTGTGCATCATTGCAATTTGATATTTCTTTGGACGTTTTCGTTTGTTATCTTATTAAGTTGTTGAGTTTGTCGTTGTTATTGTTATACCTTGTTATTGATTGTTATTGTTATCAACTGCTTGCGCAAAATGCCCAGTAGTACAGATACTGCCGATGAAGTTGTAAACTCCTGTAGTCCACTTAGGAAACGCTCTAAAAAAAGACACCTGAGTGCAGAAATGAAAGAGGTCATTTTGAATATATATAAGATCGAGCGCGAGGAGAACGAGGCATCAACCATCAAAGAAATTGTTGTGAAGGTTTCTCACAAAGTTGGGGTGTGTCGCGCATCAGTGTTTAATGTGTTAAGACAATACAAAAAAAATCACATCTTTTCTGAGCCAATGACCAGTAAACATCGCAAAAGTATTGTTAAATCATTGGATGAAGCTGATAAGCATGCGATTAGGAGGAAAGTGCATGAATTCTTCTTTAGGAATGAAATACCTACTATAGATAAAGTACTGCAGGAGGTAAATGGAGATACGTTGCCAAATTTCAAACGATCAACTTTCCATGCGTTACTGAAGCATTCAAATTTCAAATGGAAAAAACGGGGTCGTAATAGTTTACTACTGGATAGAGAAGAAATTGTGCTATGGAGGAGGGATTATTTAACAAAAATTGGGAAACATAGAAATCAAAACAGGAAGATTTATTGCCTTGATGAAACGTGGGTAAACGCAGGACACACTACAAGTAAAGTATGGGTTGATGATTCTGTAACTTCATCCAGGAGGGCCTTTCTAGATGGACTGTCCACCGGATTAAAAAATCCAGCAGGTAAATACGAGTAATAGACAACAATCGGATGTTTTTCAAACCTTGGGAACAAGGTTCTAAACATTAATTCCAGGGGGCAGTTAAAACATATTACAAGTAACAAAACTTTTATAACTTTCGATAAAATGCGTGGATGTTTTATTGTCATTTTCATTTGTTAGAACTTTTTTAAGCCATGTTTTTATGTGTTTTCGATATTTCAATAATTTTTTAATATAATCTTAAAATATGTCGAATATTATAAACTTAAAAAAAGTTACTAAGTTTTATATTGTGTACCGTTCCTAATATTTCTAATCATTTTAATTCATACTTTAAGCTTTATAAAGTTATAATTTGTTATTATTAATATTTGCGCGTATTTCAGGTTCCTGAGCATTCATTTTTTAAAGGTTTATAACTTTAAATTAAATTGTGAAGCGCTGAGTAATCATACGACGTTCAATATTCTTTCTTTCAATATGACTAAATAATCCCAATTATAGCAATCTGATACTCATGTCTCAATGTTTTTTCGCTGAATGTGATGAAAACATTTGAAAAAGGTTCGCTTATTGAAATAAATCTACACCAGTTAGTACTTCGATTTCCAGGTAAAGGGAAAAGGCTCATTATCTGCCATATTGGCAGTGAGGATGGACTTGTTGTTGACGGTCTGTGGTGCTTTGAGTCTAAGAAAACTGGAGATTACCACGAGGAAATGAATGGCGAATCGTTTGAACAGTAGTTTTCAAAAATTTTACCGAACATAGAGGAAAACGCAGTAATTGTGTTGGATAATGCGCCTTATCATTCTCGAAGAATGGAGAAGGTCCCAACAACAGCTTCAAGGAAAGTTGATGTTCAAAATTGGCTCCGCTCGAAAAATATCAACTTTGAAGAAGCAATGCTGAAAGTATAATTATTAAGAATTGTCAAGGATCACAAGGCGGAATATCAAAAATACGCCATTGACGAAATGGCAGCAAGTCAAAATAAAACTGTGCTCCGTTTACCTCCATACCATTGCGAGCTCAATCCCATTGAGCTCATATGGGCAGAGGTTAAAAATTATATAGCTAAGCACAATACAACTTTTAAATTTTGTGACCTCGAAGGACTTTTCAAAGAAGCACTAGAATTAATAACAGCGCAAAAATGGGAAAACTGTATTAAGCACGTGAAAGACAAAGTTGAAAAGAGAATGTGGGAACTGAACAATATTTTAGAGGAACAAGTCGAGCCATTCATTATTGACGTTGGTGCTTCAGGCAGTAGCGATGATGAAAGCTCATCAAGCTCATCTTTCCAATAAAAGATATCGTTCATCAAATTCGGTAAGTTATAAGTAATTATAAAGCTACTGTATTTTTTAATTAATTATTGACATTTTTGAACCCATTTTGGCAAAACCTATTCAAGAATCTACTTTCTGACAATGTTCAACCATGCACATTTTTTTACGATTTGAACGTTTTAATTTGGTTACATATTTACTTAGAAATCAAAAAATATACTAATCAATATTCTAAAAGCAATTTTAAGAGATAGACGATTATTTTTAATTTAGGCTAATTTAAACGCCATTTTGAGATTGTATTCGACTGTATTTCACCAAACATCAGGCGGCATCCGAAGCTGGAAATCGAAGCGAAAATTTTGAAACCCTTATGTATATTTACATCATTATATATTTCTTACCCCACCCCCACATGATCCTATATCCATCACCAATCGTATACACATCGAATTGTGCTAATTTACTACAAAGTTACGCAAAGCAGCATCTACTATCTAAAATATGTACTGCGTGACTCTTAATACGTCCTTGCCGAATGTTACAGCGTTCGATGATCACGTGGTCTTGTTTATGTCCGGTCTATCTCTTATCTGAATATACTGTAGACTATCCGCAGCTAAATTATTCTCTAAACCGTTGCACAATATTAAAAATATGCAAATGGAGATTGGAGAACTGCCGCATTGACATTCTTAATGATTCCGTCGTTACCCCGGTATAGACATGTTTTGAATGTTGATCTTGTCATTCTTGTCACCTGGATTGCGGCGTTGCCAACTCATCGGACGATTACCTCTGCTATCATCAATTCCTTGGACCTTTTCTTCGGGGCCATGCTAATAGTTTTGAGATTTTTCAGAAATGAATGTAAGTACATAAGAATACTTACAAGAAAGTTAGATTAGTGCACGTTTCTGTAAATTTCGTTTTATAATAATGTATTAGGGGTGGCCAAGATAAGGATCAGACTAGCTTTAACTCAGAAATCACACAATCTTACATCAAGCATTTGTTTGCAACGCCTACTTAAATATAATGAAAAATTAGAAAAAAACACGTTGAGGTCGTAGAAAAAGCTGCTATTAGATACAGTGTAGCACTTTTTTAAAAACACCATCATGTAGTGCCATTAGTGTTTTGACATCTCTTAAAATAAAGTCAGACGATTTGGCCAAATTTTAGTTTTTCCCAAATACCTCTGTATATGACATAGGATGTCAACCCTTACACACAAGTAGACAAGTATGCAAGGCTCACTTAGTTTTCTGCATAGATATCCTGTTTCCCTCAGAAGAGTTGGAAGCAGACCTAATTTACACTTTGGAGACACTTGACACCCACGTCACAACACCAAGGCACCACTGAGAGACAATCGAGAACCCTATAGTAAAAAAAGTAGCTAAACCGAATAGGGCTCTCTACGGACCTGTGAACGCATAGACATTCCGCTGCACCGATGGTTGCCGAGAGACTGAAGCGTGCGAGTGCTGTACCTCGCTGCGGCGATACAGTACGGCCGGGTAGTACAGCCACGCCCCTTTCCAGCTCCCACTCCGCGCGTCTGCTCCCGAAGCGACTCGATGTTTACGTTGACCGGTAGCACTCACACGCTTCAGTCTCTCGGCAACCATCGGCGCAGCGGAATGTCTAGGCGTTCACAGCTCCGTGCAGAACTATTTTTCAGTAGTGGTGTTCACTATAGGGTTCTCGATTGTCTCTCAGTATTGCTTTGGTGTTTTAATATTGTGACGTGGGTGTCAAGTCTAGTATATTTCAATACTTGTCTTGCGTGGCATGTTATCTTTACTCGAACCAATTCAGATTCGAACAAGACAGCTAAGTTTATCAAGGATCTTAAAGCTAACATTTTGCGCAACATGCGCCATCTAACTACTCCCGGTGTAACTGAAAACTGTCAAAACTTCGAGAGGAAGGGGAAATTCCATCTGTTCCCGCTCCTGTTCACAACGGGATCTCGCGAAAAAATCTCTAGAGAAAAATCTGTCAAGTTTCCAAAATATCCAAACTGGCAGTAGCGACTTTTACCTATCTATATTTGAAGTTATGTAGCAAGACGATTTATTTTTCAAAAAATCATAGTAATCACAACAGAGTGCAAGCCTTGCCCTTTGAGTTTGCTTAAATATATTTTTTTCTGAGATACACCACTTTGAAATTTTAATTTTGCATCGAAGTCGTGGTTTGGATTATAATACACCAAAAAATTAATAAGAACTTAATGTATTTTTACATTATTCTCTATATTATTTCATAAAAACTGCGAGCTTAATACGAATGTTGTACTATAAATGATAGAATCTAGAAAATCGACCCATATCAGGTCCCTCAACCCTGACATCTCAAGGATGAAGATAGATAGATATTTATTGATCAAATTTCATAAATTAAGAGCACTTTCTACCTTTCCGCAAACGTAGTTCCAGGATACCTCGGGTCATTGTTCACCGATTTTCATGCAGTTTTCAGCTCAATAGTCAGATGAACATTGTCAAGTTCGGAAAAAACTTTTTTGTCAAAAATAAATTACATCTCATAAACCGTAAGTTTCTTTTGTGGAATCTAGTAGTTTGCGAACAAGAAAACTATTTCTTATAACCGACTTCCAAATTTGAAGCTTCTACGTTCAAAAACCTCTAAGAAAATCATGGACTACGAAATGCATTTTTTTATCCTGTGAAATAGCGCCCCCGAACGGCTATGAGCCTAAGCTCGGTGAAATGCGGTGTGGACTCATTAAGGATTTTGAGCCAGCAGCCTGGCTTAGGACAATGTTTTAAATAAACCAACCTGATATTTTTGCTGTGTGGCCCCCATGGATGAAAAGCAATTCTGGTGGACCATCCTCAGCATCTTCAGGACTTTGCTCCTCTCCAATTTTGCTCAAGTCCCAAACGTGCAACCTGCGATCTGTACCCGAAGACGCTAAAATCGTTTCGTTATGGGGAGACCATTGAACCTGAAAATAAAAAAAAGGTCATGAAGAAGAAAATGATTGAAAAAGAGGAGGAGGAAGACATTGTTTACTATGACTCGGAAATTTCAAGCTGAACCCGTAAATCAATTTTTTTTAGAAGGATTTTACCTGGAAGATCTCATCCTTGTGCGACTCGAAGCTGTGCAGTTTCAATTTCAAATTTCTCAGATCCCAAAGAGCCACCGTTTTATCGGCACTGCCTGTAGCTAATATAAATTCAGAGTATGGATTGAAGCTCAGGCAATTGACTTCTGCTGTGTGGGCGTCGACTGTGTGAGACGGTTTGCTTGTGTTGTTGCATCTGAAAGAGAATTCGGTAATCAGCAAAGCTAATAAATAAAATTAGATAATAAGCACTATATTTCTGCTATTAGGAAAGCAATTACAGTGGACAAAATATACCTGGTATCCCAAATCATGAGTTTCTGATCATCGGCCACTGATCCGAACAAACTCTCGTGCAACAGGTGCCAAGCGACGTCCTCTACGACAGCAGTGTGCCCAGTAAAGATTGTCTTCGCATCGATGATCCTGTTTTCTTTGGGCGTGGCGTTGATGTCCCACAGGCAGATGGTGTGATCATCGCTGGCGGAGAGAAGGTACCCGTTCAGGTTCGGGTTCCAAGAGAGACCGTAACCTTCCTTTTGGTGCCCGCGGAGACGCAGGTCCGGGTGACATTCGCCGTTGGGATCCGGTTTACTCGGGTGCTTCGTATAGTCGAACACTGAAGACAATTTTACGTTTTATAACACCATTTATTTGAGATAATAAATACAAACAGTACAGTACACAGCTGTATAGGAACAAATATGTGGAGCCATCGACTCCGAATCATTTGTCTCTACAAGGTAAAACTTTTAAAGACTGAACCTCCTTTTATGTCTTGGTGTCATATGCATAATTGTCTTAATGTTAACAAAACCAGTAAGAAAGGTCTACCAACTGATCACGCGTCTTACTCAAGCTGTTGTGCTGTTTTTAAAAGCCATTTTGATAATTTGAGAAGTAGAATTAACTATGGCTGACATTATCAAATTTGTTCACTCTAATACCAGATCAATTCTTCCTTCAATGGCGGACCTTTCTTTCATGGTTAATGATATGGATCTCGATGTAGTGGCTGTTACAGAAACATGGCCGTCTTCAGATATTCCAACAAGTTCAGTAGATATTTCTGGTTATAACCTCCATCGTCGTGATCGTGGTAGTCGCGGAGGTGGGGTTGGCTGTTATGTCAAAAATCGTTTTTCATCAGAAATTCTATCGTTTGAGGAATATGATCGTACTTCTCTAGAAATGCTTTGGCTCAAGGTTCGTATTGGCCGTAAATGTATTGTAGTTGTTGTTATTTATAGACCGCCTCGGGGAAGTTTGGATGTTGCAGTAAGTATATTAGATAATACGTTGTCCATCTTAGCACCGTCTAATGAATGCATCTTGGTACTTGGTGACCTCAACGTTAATTTCTTTATTGATAATAAGATTAATCAGTGCTTTCAATCTTACAACCTGCACCAGTTATTGAATGAACCAACTCGAATAATTGATCATTCTTCAACGCTTTTAGATCCGGTTTTATTCAACTGTGCACAAAGATGTTCCAAAGTGGGAACTTTCTCTGTTAACTTTAGTGACCATCAGGCTGTATTCTGTCACCTGTAACCTCTTTTGACGATGACTTATTTAGCGTTAATTGGGCTGAAGTTATTTATATGGCTAATATCGATGAGAAAGTAAAATTTATTTCCGATAACATTGTAGGACTTTTTGACATACATGCACCACTAAAAACAGTGAGAGTGTCTAAGCCTCGTGCACCATGGCTCACAAACAATTTGAAAATGATAATGAAAGAATGAGATAAGGCTTTTCATAAATATAGATGGTCTCGAACGGATGCGAATCGAAATCATTACAATGAACTGAGAAATTTTACAAAAACTGCTACACGTGCAGATAAATCAGGCTACCTTCAACATCTATCTCGACAAAGAAACTCTGCAGCTCTTTATAAAGCTCTTAAATCATTTAGAATTCAGGATTCTAGTAATACTGACATTCCAGATGATTTAGCAGTTCCCAATGAAATAAATAACTATTTTACCAGTATATTCCAGAAAAGTGACGATGATTGCTCGGAAACTATCGAATTTTATAGACATAACAAATTAAACCAAGATTTTCATTTTCAGTTCCGTCTTGTCGATATATCTACAGTATTGGATGCTATTCGCAGTATCAAGTCCAATTCTAGTGGTATTGATGGCATTACCATTGAGATGATTAAATTGTGTCTACCTGCTGTAGGAATATACATTTTGCACTTAATAAATTGTTGTTTAGAGCGCGGTGTTTTTCCAAGTGCTTGGAAGGAAGCATTAGTGCAACCTCTTCCAAAGATTCCCAATCCCCAGGTTCCTGGTGATCTCCGACCTATTAGCTTGCTGTCAGCCCTATCAAAAATTCTAGAAAAAATAGTTTATATGCAGTTGAGTGAGTATTTACTCGAACGCAGCATTTTGCCATTGAATCAATCAGGCTTTAGAAAGGGTCACAGTACCACTACCGCTTTGGCACGGGTTTGTGACGATGTACTATCAGCGGCGGATAGGCAAGAAGCAACTGCATTAGTCTTATTGGATTTCAGCAAGGCTTTTGACACCCTGAATCATAAGCTGTTAGTTTCTAAATGTAAATACATTGGGTGTGACGACTTGGTTCTGGAATGGATAGATTGCTATTTAAATAAACGACATCAATATGTCGTCATACAAAATAAACTTTCAGACAAAAGGCCGATTTGTTCCGGCGTGCCTCAGGGATCCATATTAGGTCCACTTTTATTCCATATATACACCTTTGACATTTCTAACACCCTTCAACATTGTTCTAGTCAATCATATGCTGATGATATGCAGGTTTTTCATAATTTCTGCCCGAACAACTACCATTTAGCTAACAACCTTATCAATCAAGATCTGCAATACTTATGCACATATGCTACAAAACATAATTTACGTCTAAACGCATCGAAATCGACAGCTATACTTTTTTGCTCCAAGAAAAAACGTACTTTCTTCAAATCAAAGTTAAATTTATCACTAAATAATAGTATCCTAATATTTTCCCATTCTGCAAAAAATTTAGGTTTGTACTTGGATGAAGCTTTCAGATTTCAGGAGCATGTTGGCTATGTGTGTAAGTCTAGTTATTTTAGACTCAGGCTTCTATATGCAAGTAAAACTGTTTTAAATAGAAAAATTAAGAAAATGTTATGCGAGTCACTCATACTCAGTAAAATCGCTTACTGTAACATAGTTTATTATCCCTGTCTGGATGAAATCACAAAATACAGACTGCAAAAAATTCAAAACTCATGTAGTCGTTACATAAACAATTTAAGAGGGTATGATCAAGTTTCTCACTCAATATCTTCAATGAATTGGTTGAAAATTTCTGATCTTTTCAAATACAACTTTGTTACATTTGTCGTAAAAATATTAAAAACTTCTGTTCCGGTTTATCTTATGCAAAAGCTTGTTCGTAGGAATTTAATTCACAATTTGAATACACGCAACATTAATCTCCTGACAATGCCACAACATAGGACAGTCATTTTTCAACGGTCTTTTACCTATAATGTGGTGAAATTGATCAACTCTTTCGAACAATGTTTCATCAGCAACTTTTATAAAAAAAAATATAAGAACTACTTATTGAGCTCTTAGGTTATTGTCCTCTCTTTGAATCGTACGTATTATGTTTTTTGTTTTAATCGTACGCATTATGTCATATTTATTAATTCTTCTTTTACTATTATTCTTCTTTTTCCTTTTCTTTTATTTTATTTTTAAGGTAGTAATAAGCATTGACATGACATTTATGGTTAAGTATAAATGGCCATTGGCCAGACTTCGCCATTTGTAAGGATACATAATTATGTGTGTTACAATAAAGTCCATTGAATTGAATTGAATTGAATATGTGTCTGAAATCATAGTCAGTTTGTATTGATAAGGTCATTTACAACAATCGAATCCAACTATTTGTCAAGCAGGTTTTTACGTTCAATGCCTCTAATTTCAAGGTCAGCTTGTTTCCACAAGGACATTTGAAGGTTGTTTCAAGGTCAAATTAAAAAATTAGTCCAAGCATCACAAGAAGCCATATATTTTCAACCATCTGCTATATAAGTTGTTACAGTCGCTGATTCCAAATCTGAGGTCACTTTGGTTCAAAGGGACTTGAAGGCTTCAGGGTCAAATAACAAAAATCACAAGGGGCCAAATAAGGAGAGTGAGCCAGCCACTTCAAATCACTGGTAATTGAGACAGTTATTGATGCTCTTGAAGTGTGTGTCTTGTTGGAACCAAATATCAAGTTCAACTCATCTAGCCATGGAAAACAATTCCCTAACATGTCAATATACTGGTCCAAATTCGTTGTCACTGCAACTTCATTTTCCACCAAGAACCAGGAACCAATAACTCCAGCTAACAAAATTGCTAAATCAAAGCATTCCAAAAGGCGATCACAAAAACAACTGCTCAAAAGCAAAAGCATACTCCTCACTGTTCCAACACATGATAGCAGCTGAAATGGGTCAAAACAGAGCTTTACAGTCTTGTCTCTCGAACGAGATCATTACCACTCTGCTACAAGATCAACCAACTGAATGGGATGCATTTTAAATAAGTTATGTTGCCATACCATGTATAATTAAATTAAATGACCTTGAATTGGATGGCCTTAAACGTATTGTGCCCTATAAGTGTGCTTTTTTCATATCAGGAATCAAAAAGGCTTGGCAAAAATGACCTTGGGATTGAACAGTACCAAAGTTGATACTGTGTTCAAGGTCACTAATACTCTTTCAAGGTTAATATAAGTCATAATCACGGTCACCTGTAGCTTTATTGAAATTTCATGTTTACTATACTTACCCAACACATCGCTGGATGGAGTCTTAGTGGCGATGACACAAGCATTCTGCGGCATATATCTTGCCCTATTCACCTCCCCTTCATGGTTGATTTTGATCTCAATATCGATCTTCCCGGACACAGATCCAAACCCTCCGAATTCCCCCTTTTCATTATCATAGTGGGAAGCATCGAACTGAGCATCTTCATTGGGCAGCTGCACGCTAGCGATCAGTAAATGGTTCTGTTCATCGGATGTGTGAGTGCCAAGGATGAGACGGTGAATCGAGTGATCTTTGCCTTCGGGACGCGTGACGTCAGGCAACCATTGAGCTGTTAGGGAGGGCCACTCCAATGCGTGGGTCATCACCAAGTCATAGAGGAACGGAGTGTTTTTCTTCCATATTTTGTATTCTTCGTTGATGACGCGTTCCTCAACCGCATCATCGAACGTTTCTGAACAGAATAGTACATAATTGAAGGTAGGTATGCATTTATTTGGACAGGACGCCCCTAAAGGGTATGCTTTGTGTAATCACCAAAAGCACCGAAAATTCTGTTCTTGATTTAAACATATTGCATGAATGATGGTATTATAGGACGTCACTAAAACACCCATTTGATAATGGATCACTTTTTCATACATTTCGGTTATTTTGATGACCATTTTTTACTGATAGAAATGTCAACCGGTTGCATTCGTTGTTGCATTTCAAACTGCATCAAAACCAAACATAAAATAGGTATAAACACATATTTCGACTTACCAGCATCTCCTTTATCACCCATACTCTGACAATTAACTCAATTTTACAACTATAATTAGTATTTTTTTTAGAAAATCTAATTGTCTTTTTTTCAATTATTCACCGTGCCGCCAGCGTCCCGCCAATGTCATAAGTCATAAATCTCGTGACAGTATATTGACAGGATTGTTTGGATTCGATTAGATCAGTTGGAGAAAGAGGCGTAAAATTTATCACGCCCACTTTTAACTAACTGGGTGTAACCTTAGAAGTTGCATCTAGGAAAGACGGCGTGGCTCGATTGCTACATATTAACACACCTACTTTCCAATTTGGAAAAGAGGCTCACTAAACTCAGTTGCGCCTACTTTTTCTTTTGAGAAAGGGGCGTATCTGCCTTCATGTCTAGAAACCACGCCCCTTTTTATCGATTCCTTCACGACAATGTCACTTGTCATGTATTTTGCACTAAATTTGAACTTTGCTAATGGTGTTTTAAGTTTAGAGGTTATGATAACTTGTAAAATGTCTTCACCAAGCCGTCTCCAAATCCTTACTTTATACAAAGAGCTGTTAAGGTACGGACAGCAACTGAAATTCACAGATAAGGCCTACTTCAAGAGACGTATCAAGGATGAGTTTTATTCTAACCGTAAGTTAAGTGAGCCTGAAGAGATAACCATCCAGTTTGAGGTAGGATTTTAAACATTGGCCTCTGTATCAATTTGTACAAGATTCCTGTAATATTTTCAGAAGGGCGTTAATTTACTGGTGAAGCATGCAGTAAAATGATGTAACTGAATCAAATATGCACTAGTAGACACCAACTAGGTGTATGTTTAAATAGAAGACTGCTGGAGGCTCCATGCTGAGATTTACCATTACTAAGAAAACAGTAGAGAAATGCATGCAAAAATGCTCAGAATGTAATAAAAATATATTGCTATTTTCGTAATGTATAATTATAGAAGTATGTTGTCCTGCATTATTTTTATTAAATTTTGTTACCTTTACATACTGATGTATCGGTCCGAGTAAAGATAACGGGGCCACACAGGATAACTGTTGAAATGTATTCTACTAGACTCTAGAAGACTATCCGTAGCGAGATTTTTGAAAAAATCGCTTAAAAAATGCAAATTAAAATTGCCGCTTTGACGTTCTAAATGACTCCGTCGGTACCCCGGCATAGACATCCATCTTGACACATAACCTTGTCATTCTGGATAGCAGCGTTTGCCAGCTCATCGGACGATGCGCTACCTCTGCTATTTTGATAGAATTTTGAAAAAAATATTGTATACCAATTAATGATCCTGTAATTTTAGGTCAAATAGTTAGTAAATATATTTATATAATAAAACATTGTTTTATTCCAATTGGAATCCTTCAATATTTTATCCAAAGCTTTTTTTTTATACCATTCTAGCAAAATAGCAGAGATGGCAAAATTGTCCGATGAGCTGGCAACGCCGCAATCTAGGTGACAAGAATGTATGTCTATCCCGGGGTAACGATGGAGACCTTTCGAACGTCAAAGCGGCAGTTTTCGAATTTTCATTTGCACTTTTCAATCGGTGTGCAACGATTTCGATATAAATTTCGCTACGCATAGTCTTCTAGAGTCTAGTAGAGTATATTTCAATAGTTGTCTTGCGTGGCCATGTCATCTTTACTCGGGCCGCTGTATCTTCTAAAGCTAAATGACCTTCTCCCCCCTAGATTTGTAAGAACTGATGCCCCCTCACAATACTGTTGACCTCAAAATTCTACTGAATATCCCCCAAAACCTATTTTTTTCATTGCACCATAGTTGGTCATATTGTTAGAAAAAAAAACAAGTATCACGGCTAGCTTTGGCGGAAGAACAATTATTCCTAGAATAAAAAAACGAGACTCAAGAAAAACGATATATTCATTTTCTACATCATCAGATTTCATATTTTCTCTAGCCTGAAGAATATTGTTTCTGTCGTGTGTAGTACAAATGTTTCTGGATGCAACTGCACTGGTACTTTCGTTTTTGGACTCAAAGTAACTTTGAAGTTTTTCAAGATTTGCACAATGCCCATCTTCACTTGCATGTATCCAAACTTTGTACCTGAAATTCGCACGTTCATTTTTGTAAAATTTTTTGGCAATTTATAAATTATCGCTTTTTTTACTTAAAAATGTGCATATTTAGGATAATTTTGGCGTTGTGTTGCTACACTTTCACAAAAAAATTCCTCTTGCCAATGATTTGCACCCCTGGGAAAAAATCTTGTGGGCGCTCATGTTTGTGCCTGTGCTTTTTTTGTCGTGATACTCCTCAGATAGCAACTCTTACCTAAACAATTCCTAGGTCCTTCTCCAAAAGGCCAGTAAGGCAAATTCTTATCAATTTCATCTTCGAACCTGTCAGGGTCGAATTTCAAAGGATCGTGCCAATAGTCTGGATCTCTTTGCATTGCCAATAAGGGTACTAGTACCATGACACCTTTCTCGATCGACACTTCCGTTCCAGGAAAAGTATAATCCTTGGAACACACACGGGTCAATGTGGATACAGGAGGCCAAAGACGAAGAGTTTCTGGAAAAATGCAAAATAAAACGTAATCATTAAAATACTACAATGGCTAGACTCCACCATTTGCATCATACTTTTTTTTGCTTTCCAATGGCTGTCTTCAACGACTTTTTTGTTCATATATTTATTAGGGTTAAGTAATAGATCGGAATTTAAAAAAAATGTAATCGTTGAAAAAATGTAAAAAATAATCCGTCGGTCTCCACGATGTCTTGTGGACTCAGGAACATGTCTGAGCATACTAATATACAAGGTGACCCAGAAGTCGACGTCAAGCCCGAAACAGTTCTCATTACTACAAATTTTAGATTTTTTCTCAGAAGGAGTATGGAGAGTGTCATTCTACGAAGTGACAGCAAGACAGATGCTAATGCTACTTTTACTGGGACTCCCTGTATATTTTAATTTACTTTTTTGCAGTTACAATACTTCTTTCCGTATGAAATGAAAATGAAAGATATTACCTTCGAAAACTTGGTTCAGGTACTTCATTTCGTTCAACGTATCATACGTTACTTCCCCATCATATTTGTTGAGTATGGAATGGATATTAGCCCTTACTTTGTCCTGCAAATCTTGCTGCAAGGCCAGTTCGTACAAACACATGGTGCCCGCATTTGAGGACGTTTCGAAACCCGCAGCAAAAAATAGGAAAGCCTGAAAAATCAAATCAGCGCATAATGAATCATCGAATATCAAACATTATTTTGGTAAACAATGTTTGACTAAATTTTCTGTATTCATTTTTTTCAACAGCTAATTTTCCGGGTTTGCTGCCTAACATTAAGATTCGAACAGTTTTTAACATTAAAAAATATCAGTACGCGATCTAACCAAAACTTTGCAGTTAGCTCTTGGACTATATAACACATAAAAATAGCGATTTATGTGGCGACTATACTTTTCTACCGAGGCGGTGTTGCCAAGCTGCCTTAAAATGCTTATAATATGCTACATTTAGTAGAATGTAGAATGAAATCTCTTTTCGCGGTTTTTGGTGGTTACGCAAAAAATAAATATATCATTTCAAAACCAGGCTTGAGGTTAGAAACGTTTGAATTTCAAGCTAACGTACTTCTTTTATTGATAAAAGAACGTCGTGTAGTATTCCTTATAGGCTCTAAAAGTTAAATAGCAATGTGGTAACTTATAGGTTTTGAGAATAATTTCGCTCACGAAAAGTGTGATTTTTGTGTAGATTGTCACTTTGGTAGGCAATGGTAGTCCAATTAGTCAAAAGTAGGCACTAAAACCACATAATTTTGGCGACAAACAAGTATCTACCTGTCCGACGACTTCATCAAACGTCAATTTTCCTTCTGCCTTCATATCCAAGAGTGTCTGCAAAAAGTCCGGCCTTTTCATTCCAGTTTTCTCTCTGTATTCGACAGCTTCTTTGACGCTGTTAGTGAAAAAGTCTGTGACTCCTGTCTGAATGTTGGACACTCCGAAAAAGTCCGACACCGTAGGTAAGTAGATTGTGAGGAAAAGCTTCAAACCATCGATGTAGTGGAATTCTTCGAAAAGGTGCCGGCCCATTTTTCTGAACTCTGCATCGTGATGCTTGAAGCTGTTGCAGTCTATGCCAAATATGACGGCCCCTTTTCAAAAAATGTCTTTTAGAATTAAGAAAAAGTACCACTGGTGGAAACCGCAGGGGTATTTATAAAAAACCTAAAAAGCGTCAGAAAAACCGACAAAATGGAGACTATGTAGTTTTTAGGGTGCAAATACTTATTTCCACGTTTGCTGGCTATGATCGCAGCGAGCGGCATCAAACGCGTCCATCTATGGAAGAATGACTCAACGACACGACACGCTCAAGCATGCATTGTTGGTTGCAGGAGGCTGAGTAGTGTTTATCTCTGAGAAGATATCTGGATGATTATGTGTATTGGTCTGCATGTAACATATTCTATTTGTAATATGGATTTTTTATTTTGGATTTTCAACCCAATATTTATCGTAAGGTGTCATTGTACTCAATGTTTAAAGTTGACTAATCTTGTGGTTGCAATTCTCGCAGTCTCTTCACATTAAACAGATACCTGATCCCCCCCTGGGAATAAAAAAATATTTTCTCTGCTCGAAGTGCTGAGAAAAGATGAATCATTATTCGACTGGAGAAACTTACCGATAACGTCAGTTGTGAAACATGCCATAACTTCCAACATCTCAATATCCTTGTTAGAATCCTCATCAACAGTTTCCAAAAGATGTTGTTCCATAATTTCACTACATTTGCGAACCGTATCGAACATACTTTTCATTTTTGCCACGGTAAATGTTGGCGTAAACTTGCTCTAAAAACATACAAAAATACAATAATTGTAACCTATTCAAGCCTCATTTACTCTATCTCAAAACAAACATGTGCAATCGTCACTCGACCTCCGCGTACATTTGCTTGTCGATGCCTGTTCAGGCATTTATGACCCTCTGGTCAACCGGAGCGCGCGAGATTGAGCGTCACGACCTGGTGTTTGCTTTGATCGGGCGGAAACGAGATTTAAAAGTGAATGATTAACGTATTCTTCATATTATACAATAATTTCGTACTCAGAGATGTGGCGAAAATAAACTGCATACTAAAAGTTGACCCCGCTAATGGCCAAGTCGAGACGCTAAAATAGACGTATCCATAACTTTATTCCAACAAACCGTTGAACTAGTTCTGAACTAAACAGAGCATGCGCGTATAGAAATTACCGTTACAAGAGAAAATCGAACTGATTACGTAACTGGCAGTTCTCTGTTCGAACAAATTCCGTACTGGATTCCGAACCGGTTCTCAGCTGTGGTTCTGAGAGAGAACAGTTCAAATTTGTTAGCGCATGCGCCTTTACAGAACAAATATCGTCGATCACCTGTTCATAGCTGAGCAGTTGGGTTTTGTGTCTTCCATTTTGAGCCTTATGCAACTTTTCATCAATCACAGCTAAATCTTAACCGCTTATTGCATAATGCACTAATAGCTTTGTTGTAAGCTTACCCTTGCATTTTTCCATTCTGATCCAGCCTGTGCAAAAATGTTGACTGTTATAGGGGCGCTCTTAGTCTTATAAATGCCTCTATCATCAAAGTGCTGGTAATCAGTGATAAGAACGTTTTTCGCAAGCAACGGATCTGTCACCACTAGTTGAGGTTGCAGTCCCATATAAATTCCTATAAAACAAGCAAAAATAATAAAAAACCTACTTGATCGCTTGTACACACGCAATACTTACCTCCTAGCTTAACCCCCTTCTTCTTGAACTCATTGTAAAACTCTCTAGATACGTTCCCGATAGAAATGCCTTTAGGAAACAAAGTATGGTGGTTGCCTAAAGGGAACTTTGGCGTCAAATATGGAACATTCCTCCTTTTCCAGTATGAATAGCAGTGTTGTACATACAAAACTGCCAGGACTATGCCAGTAAGGATGTTAATAACGCCTATTACCACAGCTTCCATTTCAACCATCTATACAATAATAGAATATTAGTATTTTTTATGCGAGACCTTATCTTTTCCGACGTTCTGCAATCTGGCGGTCATGCAGTTTTTTATTATGCGGATTTATTCCAATGGGCAAGTTTTCAAGCGGAGTCTGGTAATGAAGTGTTTTCTGATAAAGGCGGACTGCATGATAAATAGTTCTTACTAAAACCGCCAAGAGAAAAACCTGGAAAATATTTTCATGTTTCTGAAATGGCCGCTAGAGGGCGTAACTGCAAACTTGAATCTAAAAAATGATGTTTCTGTGAATTCCGCTATATTAACCTAACAAAAAAATACCTGATCTTTAACGTCGAGGATAATGTGAACTTTTTTGCTTGACAGTTTTTGCTGTTTCTCTAAAAATAAAGTGGTGTGATGTGTTCAAAGCTTTCCGTAAAAAACACCCTGTATCTTCGAAACGGCTAAGCCGATTTTAACAAACTTAGGCTAGTTGAAAACAGTTATTCTTGGGCTATAAATGTTATAGTATTTGAAGTATTGTTAATTTCACATGTGGCCGCTAGATGGCTATTTTCGACATTCCGACAGATAATGGTTAATTTTCTCAAAAAGTAAATGCATTGCTATGATATTTTTATGAAAAAGTAGCTAAATGATGTCTGAACGAGCTCGCGAAAACCGCATCTCGATATCTGGTTCCTAACGTAAAATTTAGGCCAAAGAAAATTTTATACGGAAACCCCTTAAATTTTTATTTTTTTAAATAATTTGTTCTGGAATTCTTTTTTTTTTCATCAAAACAAAATCACCTGAATATTCTTCCCAGCACAAACACAAACGTAGGTCGTTCTGGCAACGTTGCATTCTGAAACAATGATGGATAGGTCGGATAACAGTGGCGCTCAAGCATTTGGTACTTGTGCTGCCACCACGCGGATTTTGTTTTCAAGATGTGTTAATAATTCAGCTTAATACGTTCATGCACAATGGTTTATTATGGCGTTCCTCCATGTAGTTCAATTATAACCAAAATAAATTGGCCATACGAACATGATTTTCGACAAAGTACGGACCAGTGTCGCCTAAATCCGCACCAAACATTTTTTTGTTTGATAAATTGTCACTTGAAGTCGCAAACATTTTAATTAGTTTTATTTTTCAGTCGCAGAGAATTCCTAAATACACTTTTATGAATCTTATACCATCAAATACTTACAAACTGTATGCCGAATGCACAATTTACTACATCAGAATAACATATTGAGACATTTTAACATATAGCGCGATTTAATTGATGTAGAATATAAAGTAAACATAATGATAAGACAACAAATCGAAGCAATTCGATATCACGAAACTTATTTTTATCAAATGATGCTAATAAATCTCTAGAAAATAATATTTGTGATAAACGGATTGATTATCATATTGCGTACTATTTAATAGGAGCTTAATATTTCTTCAACCAATTTTATGTCTACAATATGTAATACCACGGGATACTATCTATTTTACCAAAGGTACATAATATGAACATATACAGGGTGACTTTGAAGTTGAGTCATTAATTTTCAGATAATGCTTGCAGAAGGAAGATAAACCAAAATATGTGTGTAAAAATAAAAAAAAATAAAAAAAAATGTTACCTTGTTTTATAAAGTATCCTCCCGACAAGTATTTCAGTGCGGACCTGTATTTGATCGTGCGGTCTTGGAGCACCGGCATGCCCTCCCCTGTGAGGTCTTAAGTCACCTGATTCACGAGCCCTTTGTACTACATTAACAAAGGCACGAGGGGTTGGTTGCACTCGATTGGGAAACCGATCCGCATAAATCCGTGATGCCGCGTAAATAAGAATCATGTCCACAAGTTCAGCATTTTCGTAAACATGTGCCATTTTTGATTTCGTTTGAGCCACGCAACAGACACCTCTATTCACTCATGCGTTACCGACTGACACTGACTATACAACTGAATAAAATAATTGTAAAAACATCGTTCCAAATTCTTTCGCTTTTTTGTTTCCGATGCGATGAACCGATAAGGCGGATTATATCCGTTGTTGCCAAACACGAGCACATAATATTATTATTGATACAGGGCGGTACTCAAACTTCCAAAGGGCTATAACTTTGTTACTTTAATTTTACCAGAAAAATGGTAAAGGAAAAAAACATCTCTTTTGATCAGATCTACTCACTGTTAAAATAAATGACTCAACTTCGAAGTCACCTTGTATACATACGTACGTCAGGTAAATAATAAATTACCAGCTTAAACACATTATGATAATACATATCAAGTAACAGATATTATGACAGACAGACAGACAAAAAAATACACACGTTATAAACAACAATGTACAAAAGTAATATATATATTTACCGGATAGACAAAAATTAGAAATCGACACGTAGTAGACAAAAATCTAGGAGCCGATTCCTTTCATATATACTGCACAACTACAGTAAACCTTCAATTTTTTTGCTCGCTAGAAATTGATCCAACATCGGATGGTAACTTATTATTATGTTTAAGAATTTGCGGAACAAAGGCGGACATAAAAAGTGCTACAAGTGACTGTGCCGCAACATGTGTCGCAACTTACGATGTAGACATTTCAGTTTGCAATGTAATCTGCCACTTTGTATGTGGAGAAACATATGTCAAACATTCTGACAGTTATCAACATGCTGTAGTACACGTAACCGACTTATGTTTCCATTTAAACAAGTTGCAGCTACACGTTGCGCAACATGTTATAATGGAAACAGACCTTTGTATACTAAAAACATATTGAAAATGTGTGTATAAATAAACTCTATTTATAATGGTTGATTCATACCATGTATTTCTTTTAGTCGAGATCCGGTGCGTGTTACACAAATTTTCATCCCCTACCAAGAAAATTATGTCCCAGAAGAATTCTTGCTTAACTGCTTATAGGCGTACCAAACAAATGACTGCATGCGAATGAGACATAGATCAGTAACAACCAATTAAGTACACAATTACAGTCATATTATGTTCATACTGAACAATTATTTTTAATGATAACTGCTAACAGATAGCCGCTTATTGTTAATTTTTTTTTACAAAACTCAAGGGAATACTAAAACTTATTATATATTTTGTAAGATAGTTTTATTTAATATTTACAGAAGATAGAAGTGAGCTTATTTTATTAGTTCTTTTTGAATTTGAACGGGAGCGCGCATAGGCCTACAAGAGCTTTTAACCGCATGTCAGGACAAATATTTAGTTTACTAGCACGCATGCGCATCAACAAAAAATATCGATCTAGATCGATACAGAAAACCTCATCTCTATTTTACCTCTGACTAGACATCAGACTTATTGTGAACTAGACATGTTAGCATTTTGCTGTTCCGTGTCACCGTGATGTCAACAAAACCCCTAACCTCAATTTATTAAAAAAGTGGAAAATTTATAATTTTTTAGGTAAAAAGTACATATAAGAAGACAATATGGTATGTCTGGTACACAGCAACTAATCAAACCGATTTTGATCATTTGTTTTTGCAGCTAGTGTTAGTATTAGGCGATTTGCACATTCCACATAGATGTAGCAGTTTACCAGCAAAGTTCAAGAAGTTATTGGTGCCTGGGAGGATCCAGCACATCCTCTGTACCGGAAATCTGTGCACCAAAGAATCTTACGATTATCTCAAAACACTTGCCAGCGATGTGCACGTTGTCAGAGGCGACTTTGATGATGTATGTAATCATGTATGTTTCTTTCTTAAAAGTTGCTATAACTCGATATTTAGTCTCTGCCTCCATGTCTGCTACTACTTTGTTCATTCTGTGCAGCTATTTCGAATATATTAGGAGACAAGCCTAAATGTTTACATTGCACAAATCGTTCGCTCCTGCTACTAAGTCTGAATTCGTTGATTTTATGAAGTAAAAAAAATCTGTTCCTTTTTTGCAGAACTTGAACTATCCTGAACAGAAAGTAGTAACAGTAGGCCAGTTTCGGATAGGTCTATCCCATGGTCACCAAGTAGTTCCTTGGGGAGACCCAGAAGCACTCTCACTGATTCAGAGACAATTGGATGTTGATATTCTGATATCAGGTCATACTCACAAGTTTGAAGCATATGAACACGAGAACAAATTTTATATCAACCCTGGGTCTGCTACAGGCGCTTACAACGCTCTTGACACGTAAATATTCTCTACCTTTTAGTAGACAAAATAGTCGCCTTTTTGTATGTATCACAAAAAAATGTTTAATTTTTGAGATGGATCATAAATACTTGGTTAATGATTGTATTTATTTTTTTTTAGTTCGATAACGCCTTCATTTGTTCTGATGGACATACAAAATACAACAGTGGTCACTTATGTTTATCAACTGATGGGTGAAGATGTCAAGGTTGAAAGAATTGAATATAAGAAGATCTGAACTGTGTTTAAGTTTTATCTATTATTAAGTATTAAGTACTGTATTATGAGTATATGAAATTCATGAAAAAGATTGGATATTTATTTCTGAAATCTTCTTACTTTCAGAAAGCCCTGGTCTTTTAGGTGTGCAACATCTAAATTATGCATTTCTTTTAATAAAATTTGTGTTATTATCAAGCTGTTACAGATGTAAAATTTTTAGCATATTCTATCTTTTTTGAATATATTAATTTGCTATCATTTATGTTTATTATTATGATACATACATATGTCTAATTGTAAAAATGATTTTTTCAATTATCTCATCTTTATATTTTAGGACTTTATTATAATATGATATGCTATTCAGAAGGTATAATATGTCAAATTTCTTTAGGTGTAAGATCATTTTTGTTATATATGGTATTATGAATTTCTTCATTAAGTAATAAAATATATGTTTATAATTTTTTGTTATCCTTATACTTACCAGAAATTAACCTGGGGAATTTCTAAAATACCAATCTTATGCAATTTTTCGAAAAATGAAGGTCCGTCTTTGATTTTTTAAAAATAGCGTATGATTGATTTTTAAATAATGGTGGATGGAACCGCATCTTGAAAAGTGACATTTTGTCGTTTTTTGACATTATATAGTTTTTTGTGACAACGTAGTTTTTCTAGCACTAGCGGTAGGACACTTGTTATGGACACGTTTTATAGCTGTACGTGTTGCCTAAACGTCATAATGCTACAGGTAGCTGATTATGTTTGCATATCTGCAAATCAATGATATTTGCTGTGATAAAATTATTACTGAATATGCTGCCAATCAAGAGTATCTATTAGCTGTGCCCGACGGGTTATTTATATGTTGTCCTTTCTGAAGACAGGTTATCTTCAAAGTTTAAGTACGATTTTTCCCATTTTTTTTTTGTGTTTCCAAAAGCTTTGAGGGGAATTACGGGGAATCACCGCCGCGCCCGCGTTGTATGTAATTACTGTTAGCTTGTATATGACTTGTAATTCGTCAGTGTAAAGTGAATATAATTGCACTATGTGGCAGTATGTAAGTATAAAACACAATCCCGCTTAAAGTGAATTACTTCACCAACCAGTGATTTTCTTTTCTTATCGCTCTCTTTTTTTAAATCCAGCAAATTTACATGCGCAGGTTAAATAAGGAAAAGCGGATGCGCAACTAATTTTTAGCTTTGTATACATCTCAAGTAAGTGTATTTGAGACAAGAAATCAATGGAATTATTATCAACACAGATTATTAGCACACAAATCCTCACTATATACACCTATGCTCTGGGTGTGTCCTTCCAGCTATAGTACAAATATACAACTTACAGCTTAGACCTCCAATCATGCCATCTCTGAAGCAGATGTTACATCACATAAGAGCCAAATATTGAAAGCTGAAGCATCATGACGTTTAGGCAACACGTACAGCTACGAAACGAGTACACAAGTGTATAACAGCTAGTCTTAAGTTGACATCTAGTAGTAAAAACTACATAATGCCACACAAAATCTATATAATGTCAAAAAAAAAAACAGACACAACAAGTGTATAACAGCTAGTCTTAAGTTGACATCTAGTAGTAAAACTACATAATGCCACACAAAATCTATATAATGTCAAAAAAACAGACAATGTCACTTTTCAAAATACATAATTCCCTGCGGAAAACCTACCGGTTTGTGTTGAGCCTCTCGCCGTTTTCCCTATTGCATTTTTTTCGTTGGGCAAATAATAGCTCCCTCATCCAATTCTCAAGAATCTAAAATGATGATCAACAAAGGGCCGGCTGAAGATTTGTTGGGCCCTATGCCAATGTATTGCTACGTGTCGCCTCCCCCAGTAATTCTGACACAAAACTATAATACACTTCAGACATGCTTAAAAACGAATATATTATGAATTTGCTGTTTGTCTTTAGATAATACAAACTATTAAAATTTTCAGGTGGTAACAACAAAGTTTACTCATATACATTTGAGATCTAAATTAAAGTGTACTTTGTATGTTGCTCTTCTAAGAAAATATATTTGTCCTACTTTTTGCCTACCCTGCTCTGATCAGCAAACGGCGACACCCCGCGACGGCAGCCCGGCTTGGGTATTACGTATCTTGAAAAGTGACGTTATATCGATTTTTTTTGACATTATATTGGTTTCGTTTTCACATGTAGGTTTTTCTATATCATGTTAACTTAGCACTAGCTGATGGGCACGTTGTGAACTCGTTTTGTAGTTGTACGTGTTGCCTAAACGTAATTAGGCTTCAGTTATCAATGTCTGGCTCCGATGTGATGTAAAATCTGCTTCAGAGATGGCATTACTGGAGTTAACGGCAATGTTTAGGTGCATAGTGAGGATTTGTGTGCTAATAATACGTGTTTATGACAATTCCATTGGATTCTTACACTTACTTGATATTCAAAGCTAGACATTAGTTGAGCATCCACTTTTTCTTATCCATTCTGGAAATTACATATCCAAATCTGCTGTATTTAAAAAACGAGAGAGGTAAGAAATAATTATATTTATTATACACTGTCGAATTACAAGTCATATACATGCTATGAGTTATTATACGTACACAACGCGGGCGCGGTGGTGATTTCCCGTAATTCTCCTCAAAGTTTTTGAAAACACAAAAAAACGTAAAAAATCGTAATTTATTACTTTGAACATAACCTATCTCCATAAAGGACAACATATAAATAACCCGGCCATAGCTAATAGATATACTTCATAGGTAGCATTTTCTCACACAGCAAATTTCACTGACTTTATACACATGCAGACCTACACACAATCATCCAGATGCGATCTTGCTATTCAACCAACTTTCTTCTCAGATATGACAGTTTTAGACTACTCGGCTTCACAAAACGTATGCAACCAACAATGCGTGTAGTTGAGCTATTCCTCCATAGATGGACGCTCACAATGATCCTAGTGAGCAAACGTGACGTGACTGCTTGCACCCTAAAAACTACGTAGTTTGCAAGATGACATTTTGTAGGTTTTTTATAATACCCGTGCGGGGCCCCCAACCAGGCGGTCGTCTAGTTCACCCCTATGGTAGAGCCGGCCCTGATCCAGCCCCTACTTGTTGGAGGTCGTGTCGATAATCTATTTTTGTGAATCCACGTAAATTCCCGCAGATGTCCCAACGATCAATTTGTCAATATAATTGAAAGATAAACCCCCGAGCTGGTGCTTTCCGGAAAGAAAGATATCTGATTGGCGAAACCGCTTTTTGAGTCCTTACAAATGTCCAGACACACGGCTGATGGGTCAGGATTAAACAAGACTGATGTATCGAGTATATACGGCTACAAAAGGATCTATATTGGATTTTCTTTTAATTGGACATCAATTTTATGTTTCACGTCTTTATTATGTAAAGCTATTGGAATATGTACACTGCGTGACGAAAAATCGCCTAGTTATTCATTTATTTATGCTTAATTGTCCAATAAATTAATCTTATTACAGGGCAATACAATGGTACGTGATTAACATAGAAGAACAACAAGGAACAGAAAAAATTAGAGACATCGCATCGACTAATTTATTCTAGTAGAGATTAAGTAGGATACCCTAGCGGTACGTATGAGAATCTGTCACTGCTGTCACTATTGATTCCCTATTTATTATATGGGGTTGTCCAAAACGGACGCAGGAACGTAAACGCATATTAAAACAAGAAAGATTGATATTCAAATCAAGTTGGGTACCTAATTTATTTTGAAGGTTCATTTATACCATTTATGTATGAAAAATAATATCGCTCAAATGTTCACCACGACTGGATTTACAGACGTCCACGCGATGGTCGAAATTTTCAATGACATTTTGCAACATGGTCGGTTCTATGGCATTTATCTAGGCAATGATGTTGTTTTTGAGTTCTTGGAGGGTGGCTGGTTTGTTGACGTAGACTTTGCTTTTCAAATATCCCCATAAAAAGAAGTCCAAGGGAGTCAAATCGCACGATCTTGGTGGCCATGACACATTTCCTCTGCGCGAAATCACGCGATCACCGAAGAAGGACTGCAATCGATGGATGTTGACGTTGGTTGTGTGGCATGTTGCACCGTCTTGTTGGAAATAAACATCGTCCATATCCATTCCTTCAAGTTGCGGCAAAAAATAGTCCTCTATCATCACGTGATATCGCTCAGAATTGACGGTAACGGCGTCCCCGGTCGCATTTTCGAAAAAGTAAGGTCCGATGATGCCTTTTGACCACAATGCACACCACACAGTCACTTTTTGAGGATGCATCGGCTGCTCTTGATACTCACGGGGATTTTCGTTCGCCCAGATGCGGCAGTTTTGCTTGTTTACCGTCCCATTCAAAGTGAAATGCGCTTCGTCGCTGAACATGATTTTTAATGAAAGATTGGCATTGGTCTCTCACACTCTCCTTCACAACAGCAATATTTTCCGATGTGCGAACGCTCCTTGGCCGGCCAGAGCCTGGCAGATTTGCCACAGAACCTGTTGCCTCGAATTTACGCACCAGACGACCGATGATTGTTTCGTTTGGGCGGTTGTTGCGACCGAAATGTTCACGAAGCGCGCAAAACGTGTTTTTTATTTTTGCACCATTTGAATAACTTTAATCCGGTCTTCAATCGAATACGACTCCATAGCGATCAATGGTAAACATTCAACTAACAAAATGACATGTCGGTGACAGAAAACAAGATGGCGTCTATGTCAAATTGGCGTTTACTTTCCTGCGTCCCTATTGGACAACCCTTTACGTACTCTGAAGAGGCTTGTGTCTCATAGATGGCGCTGGCTACATACTCGTGTATGCTCATATAATGGACTACAGCGCCACCTATGAGACGTATAATATAATATAATTTGAGTTATAGCCAACTTTGAGATCACGTTTTTTGGGATAGTCCAAAGATCAAAAAGACGCATAGAAAAATCTCCAAGATCAAAAATTGAGAATCTGACATAGCCCCAAACTTTGAAAAGCATGACTTCCTCTGCTTACCCTGTGTAAGTGGATAAACAGAAGAAATAGGAGTGTCAGTCCAGCGAAGAAACGTCTTAATTGTAACAACTCTAGGCTGTAACGGAGCGTAGCAGAATAAATTGATTGACCCTCTTTCTGGTTGTACTCTTTTGTATGAATTGTGATGCCCTCGTAGTTAGAACTTTGGGTACTGGAAAGCCATGCTTATACATAGACTAAAAGATTAGGCAACCAGAGTCACACTGCCGTGCAATAAGAGCCGAGTAGCCTGGCATCCAGAATACGTGAATGTTCGTGAAGGCATCGGGAAGCATCCAGCGCCATCGAGAAGCATCAATCTACAATAAGTTCGATGAAGCTCTCGAAGGCTTCTGGAAT